TGCCGTGGGGCTCTTCTGCTCCCCTCCCCGTCCGTGACAGGAAAGCCTCTCTCACTGAACTCTCAGTGTCGCACCGTTGCAGAACCTCCCAGGCCCCCAGGCCCTGCTTACAGGGCCCACCGAGGCTGTGAGATGGGACACTACCCAGCACCGGAACTGCAGGGAACAAAAGGAGAGGTGCAGGAGTTCTGGATCTCCGGTCAGAGATGTTGGGACCCTGGAGACAGAGTGGCAAGTCCATTAACAGGGTCTGGGGCAGAATGAAAGCCCAGGCAGGAAGTGGGCACGTTTTCTGCTCCCTTCTCCCAGATTTGGTTGTGGGATTTCCCACTTGGGGTCTCTCCCCGGTGCAGGCCTCCCTGGCATCACACCCCCACCCCGCCAAGGGGGGCAGTGCCCTGCAGTGGAAAGATTTCTGACCAGTCGGGGGACGTCAGTTCTCAGCCCAGCTCCCCGTTGGCCTACATTCTGCAGCCACGCTGGGCCTCAGTTTACCTGACAGCTTCTCTTGGACCCCATGGCATTTTAAACCAACACAAGCTCATTTGTCACCATGTCCTCATCCTTCTCCCCAGCTAGCCTGACCAGTCTGATGGACCTCCATCACCCACCCCCAGGATATGGTGCTGGCTGGACCCCCGAGGTCAGCCTCCAGAATATGTATGTGTGTGAGTGACTGGCTGCACCCTCCATCCTTGAGCCTCTAGGATTTGTTCCTCTGCTCTTCATGCTCCATGTGTGACATGGAGACACCCCTTGTGGGCTTGGTGGAGTAGTGGGCCAGCACAGGCCCCCTGGAGCTCTAGAATCAGACTTGGAGCCTGGTTCCACCGCTGAATGGCTTTGCCAGTGGCTTCACCCTTTTGAGGTATGAAGCGGAGTGACTGCTCGCATTTCCAGCCATGAGTCCAGGGTCACGTTCGCTAATGCAGGTGACATGCGGCTTTACTACTATCTCCATTTCTCTGACAAGGGAAGTGCAGTCAGTGGCTGAGTCCACTTTACCTACTACAGTGGGCAGGAGTATGATTGTCATAAAGAGATCCCCCGGCTGGGATTAGGCGATGTGGCTCTGCCACCAGTGCATTCTCTGTGGTCTTGGACAGGTCACACCTCTGTCCTGGGCATCACTTTTTTCCCTGTAAATGCAGGGCACTGGGAGAAGCGACGATCTGTCAGAGCCACCCACTGCAGGCAGGTAGGTATAACTCTCCCCAAGCTGCCAGTGGGAGCCCCAACTTGGTTTGACCCACTACTCATTGCACTTCAGATGTCTGCCGATAACCATGTGCTCTGTGGTGTCCTGGGAGGGTGGGTATGCTGTTCGTGAGACGGAAATCCTTCGACGTCTAAGCAGAGCTGGACTCAGAGGCTCTTTTTGGCCAAGTAGGCTTCCAGATGCACCTAATGTTGGTTCTTCTGAAGTTTTCAGCGAGTGCAAGCCAGGAGGCCCCATGGGGCAGCCGTCCTGTGTGGGAAAGTTCATCAGTACCATCAGCTTTAGGACTCCCTCCTTCTCCCACCTTCTACCTGTACCCGCTCCCCCAGCCTGCCGGATCCTTTTGGAGTTTGGGGAAGAGAAAAGCCCAACAACCCAAAGAAGGTCAGAGCCCTCAAGCAAGGTCGTTTGTGGTCTGCCTCCTCTGTGACCTTTTGACCAAGTGGGTAAGGAGTTGAAAAGACCATAAGGTCTGCCTTCTCAACACCTACCTGTTGGTCTCCTGTGGAGAAGGCAGGGGAGGAAAGAAACTCCTCTTATGGGGGCACTAAACCACAGGGCAGCAAATCCCGTTCCTCCTTGTGGAGCTGGGAACAGGTCTGTCGTCGTCTTAACAGAAGCAGCTGTTTTCGGTGTGGTGCCCTGTTCTCTGCCCCCAAGAACGCATCACGCCTGCGGGGTGCCTCCCTGTGCTATTGCACACTGTCCCAGGGCCAGAGTCTGGACGCAGATCGAGTGGCACATAGCTCCAGGCCGAGCGGAGGTAGCAGAGACCCAGAGGATGGCGCTTTGGCTGGATGCGGGTGACCACCATGAATCGATAGGCTTCTGCCTTCATGGAGGAAACACTTTTTGGCTCACAGAGCTCCTAGCCCCGTGCTAGGGGCTGTGCTGGGAAGTACACGAGCGGAGCCCAGTCACCACGTGGGTAGTGGGGTGGGACAGGAGCCCCCTGCTCTGGGTACACGAGTGTTGAGCTGCGTCCCCGCCTGTCTCGAGATCATGGTGGGGTTTTCTCTCCGGACAACCAGCCAGCCTAGGCCAGCGTTCTCTTGTCCTCAGTGTTCCAAACCTGGGCTCCAAGACATGGGGGAGACTTCTGAGAAGGCTGCTCCCTCCCCAGACTTCACAGCCCACTCGCCACCTCTCCTTCCCAGCCAGAGAAGTTGCCAGACCAGCCAAGAGCCTCTCAGACCAGCCGTGCGCTCCCTGCCCTTACTACTCATTGGCCATCTGTGTTGAGGCGGCTGCTTGGAGGCAAACTTGTGCCATAGCCACTTCTTCAAGGGCCAGTTACCAGAGTCTGGCAGGGAGCTTCTGAGGGAGGTAGAGAGGTGAGGCACGCGTATTGGCCTGGCATCTGAACATCAGGGCGCCCAAGCAGCCATAATCTAGGGGCAGGAGACAGCTTGGAATGGCCTTCCAGACCCAGTTTCGAGAATTGGCCCTAAGCAGGGGCCGCCGCTGGCTGAGGTCCCCTGTGGGTGGCAGACACTCTGGGGCGCTTTCCATACCTTTTCTACAGTTAGCCGTCAGGTCAGCTGCTGCTTGCCTCCCCAGGCTTTCAGGGCCACAGGTGTGGGGGACCTGCCTGGAGACACGCTGCTCTCCCCAAAGGAGCTCCGGATCCTACCAGGGAAGGGCCACAAGAGTTGGAGGGAGGAGGCACTCCCTTCTTGCCAAGAGCTGGGAACCAACAGAAGGCCTTTTGCCCCCTCTTGGCAACTGGACCTCACCCTCGAACCCTCTTCTTCTGTTCTTTTAATTTTTCTTTTTTTGGGGGTTGGCTTTGAATTATCTTATTTTGTTTACATTGCACCCAAGTTTCATGGTACAAAAGACTTGCAGGTGCAAATATGTCCCGCCTTCATTAGCTTCCCCTCCCTTTTTAATTTATGTGATTTCAATTTTCCTTCCCTGTACTGTTAATTAGGGGACCCTCTAATCAGCGCCATTATCACAGTGGTATTCATGTTTAGGAAAGCCGCTAAACAAATGCTTGCAAAATTGCTAAATGGCTAATTAATGTCTGTTAATTAAGAAAATTGCTCATGGTAACAAACCATGCCGTTGCTGGCAGCCGCTAGAAAGACACACACTTGTTGAAATTAGTAGCGTGGCAGGTAGGGGAACATCTGCTCCACAGAGCTCTCCGGAAGTGAGCAGCCCCTCACTTGGCCGAGAAACTCCAGGCCTGTCCTCAGCGGCGCCCCCGCCTTCCCGGACGGCTCCCTGCCGTCTTTCCTTGCACACCTCTTCTCTCTGTCTCTGGGCCCACCGCCCAGTACCAGCCCCTCCACCCCGCCCTGGCTCTGGACTGTGTTTTCTGAGCAGGTGGAAGGCTGGGCAGCCTGGCTTTGAGGGAAAAGGCTGACGAAGAGAATCCTACCTGTATCTCGAAGATTCTCTCTCCCTTTCCTCTTTAATGTAACCTCCCCCATCCCCCGTGCAGGTTTTGGACTTTTCTCAAAAGCGACTTGAGAGAGTAATGATGGTATGATCTAGGATAGAGAAGAGTGAATTAGGATGAGCTCTTCGTCACCAGCCCCCGTGTCCAGCTCTGAACATCCCAAAGGCAGGCAGGAGCTTCCAAGTTGGGCCTTTTGTGCTTTTTGATTGACCTGCAGTAGGAAATACGTTTGACGTGGTGAACCAGTATACACACACACACATATGTATAAATGTGAAAAGAAGTGGGTGAAAAGATTTGCCTTTATAGACACGGAGCTGTTAGTTTCTATTCTGTTTTTTTATTCCGTTCCAGGTTTTTAGGAAACAATGGTTGCAACCCACTAAATTGATTTCACCATCCACTAATGGGTTGCAACCCACAGTCTGACCCATCCTGTGGTTTGAGTGAATTCAACTGCCCATCTTTTCTGGGGGGAGTCAAGGTCAGCATAGCCCAGGGCTTCTGGGGTCAGCTCGGGACCGTGGGTGGCTCACTGCTGGCTAGAGTGGAAAGCCCAGCCCCTCCACCCACCCACCCAGCAGTCAGGGGCCTCCAGCCCCATCCCCTGCCCCTCTGCACATGCCAGCTTGAGTTCTGGGCTACAGGAGTCCAGGCGAGCCTCGGGGCCATCAGGCATCTCATCCTGGTTTTGCCGTCCACCAGTTGTATGGCTGTGGCCAAGTTCCCTCATCCCTCGAGATCCAGTTTCCTCATGGGTAAAAAGAATGAGAAACCCCACTTCATGGGGCCCTTTAAAAGTGAAGGTGAATTAATAAAGTTCACGGCATGGGTTCTCTGTAACCGTCCGTCCTTTTGTTCCCTTGTTTGTTTGATCTCTGGCCCAGCCTGACTCCTCCTGTCTGTTCCCATGCACCCATCAGGCCCCCTCCCCTCAGCAGCACGGCCCAGGAGCCTGCATCCTGTCTGTGTCCCCCTCCAGACCGGAAGCTCCCCCAAACCAGGGCCTTGCTATGCGTCGCCGTGCTCTCTGAGCCCATCACAACCAGCGTATTTAACATGGCAAACTCCTCTCCAGCCATAGACGGTGCCCGGGCCCCCAGCTCCTGCATGCTTTGGCGAAGGAGCTGGGTTTTATTTCCCGTCCCCTTAAACCGCCCCGTGAGTGTGTTCATCGGCTTCTCTCCCTCCCGCTCTCTGCGCCCACCGTTGAGCCTGCGACCCAAGCCGCCGCGCACCTCCCCGCCAGCCAGAGCCCGCACGCCCGCCCGCCGCCTGCCCTTCGTTTTGGTTTAATTTTTGTTCTTTTAAGCTTCTGCGCTTCTCCATGTGCTGTGATCTATAACCTGCCTCTACTGTCTGGCCTCACAGGGTCCTCCGGGGTCACAGCCCTCGCCGCACGCACAGCCTCCACCTCACAATCCCAGCAGCATGATGGGACCCCACAGTCAGGTAAAAAGCACTGTGGCTCGCCTGCCCGCCGGGGGGCGCGGGGCACGAGGAGGACAGAGCCAGCAGAGGAAAAACAAAAATCAAAAATGTGCTCTGGCCATTGCTTTCGAGTCTTTATGGACAAATGAAATTAAAAAGAAAAATTTTTCACCCCCCTCCCCCCCAAAGACAGTCTTCACTCCTTGGACATCACACCCAGCTTGGATCTGAAACCAAAAGAAAAGCAAATATATTTCTGTGACCTTGTCAGCGGCCTTTATGTTTTTGTTTTTTCCTCTCTCACTTTTGGTTTGGTTTTTTGAGTTTGGTTAACCATTTGTTCGTAACCAAAGCTGCATCCCTAGCCTTTCTCTGTGTGCGCTCTCGCTGTTCCTGCCCATCCCCCCGCACAAGTCAGGGAGCCCGCTGGCCCCTTACTGTTCTCATTGTGTCCCCCCACCCCAAATCCTCGCTCCCCTTCCGCACCCCCTGTGTCAATGGTTTCTGTGTGTGTGTGCGCGCACGCGCGTGTGTGTCCAGCTCTGTCCGCACACCCGGAACATTTTGTGTATGAGTCCCCTTCTGAGTCGCAATTTTCCCTTCCTGAGAGCAGAGATCTCTTCCTCGGCCCCGCACCACTGTAACGGCTCCTTGCTCCGCGCCCCCTGCCCAGGCCCAGCCGCGCTCTCCGGCCACCCAGAGTAGATGTCCATGGGCACACGCAGAGTCAGGAGCCGCCCGTGCTGGGCGCCTCTGTTGTTCCCTCCACCCAGGGGAAGTTGTGCCCAGAGGGAAGAGGCCACTGGGAGAAAGAGAGTTGGAAAGATGGCTGGTTGTAACAAAACTGGACTTGGTGGCTTGGAGCGCAGTCGTGTTTGTCCCTGGGCGGGAGTGCAGGCTGTCACTGAACTACTTCCCTGTAATTGCAGCCTTTTATGTCACCGCGCTACGCAGGCGGCCCCAGGCCCCCGATCAGAATGGGAAACCAGGTACTGTACCTTTTCATGTTCTCTCTCCCCTCACCCAGCCACCCTTGGCCCCTGCTGGACTGTGACGCCAGTCCAAACTTGGGGAAAGGATTTGGAGGTGGAGGGACAGGTTTGAGTGCTGGAGGTAGCTTATAGGCCGGTCCCGGAGGAGGGCCCTTTGTCCGCTCTGTGTTCACGGTACAGCCCCTCTCCCAGCATTGCCTCTACCTCTCCTGGTGGGCTCTGGGTGGTAGAGCAGACCCTGGTGGTTCCTGGAGCCCAGAGGGCAGCAGCAGAAGCAGCCCCAGTGGGAATGCAGGGTTTCAGCTAGTCTAGGGAAGGTGGTAATGCCCCTGCCCCCTCCTTTCCAGGCCCTTCTTGGAAAAGGGTCTTCCTCCTTAATGAAGTTAATTGACAACGTGCATTTTTTTTCCTGGAAGCTTTTGAGAATTGCCAAGGCTGGTAAATATAATCCTGCTATTAAGGGGAGAAATGGCCCGTAGGAATGCTTAGATCAGGAGCCTGGATGCAGCGGAGCAGGACGCTTGTGAGTTTCTAAGCAATGTCTGCCTGTTTCCCAGACCCAACTCAAAACAAGAAAGGATTTGTTCAAGTAATTAGGAAAGTGGTCCGCTTATGGGGAGGGCTTCTCAGCCTGGGGTTGTATGCTGGCCCATTAGGGTTGGCAGTTCTTAGGTGGTCTGGAGAAATCGGCCCCGGCGCCGCCATCCCTAGTTCAGCCCATCCGGGGGCAGGAAGGGAGCTGGAGAGGTAAAGATAAAATATCTTTTGAGGATCGACAGATTTAAAAGAAACTTAAAAAGAAATTTTAGGGAGGTTTCTTTTCATGCTGAAGTATTTTTTTACATAAAATTCTTCGAGTGACCTTGCAGAAACCCTTCAAAAGATGTGACTGCATCACCAGCGCCTCTAGCCCCTGCTGCCTCTGGAGCTTGGGAGTTCTCTTAGCAGCCAGAGTGGCCTTGTTGTTTCTGTGCCCACAGCACTGCTAGGAAGGCCTCCCTCCAGGTGCTGAGCTGCAGGGCCTAAGGCGAGACCGTCATAGTCCAGGGCCACCAGATTGTACTGTTAAATTGCCTGTCAGGTTTCCAGTTTTTTTTTTCCACCTCCAAAAGTCTTTTGTTTTCTCTTTCTCTGACATGAGGGAGAGAGGTAGATAAGAATCAGACACCCAGCTTTTTGAACAAGGAGGGACCCTTGGGTATGTCCCAGAGGAGGAAGCAGGTCAGAGTGGAGGAGTGGCTTCCCGGAGTCCTGCAGTAAGCGAGGTCAAGTGCATCTGCAGCTCCCAGCGCAGCACCGCTTCCTTGGCCCCTCACCAGCATTCAGAGTTGTGAGTGTGCTGGCCCAGCCACCGCGAGGGCGGCCTCTGCCGTCGCAGGCGCAGGCCCCCATAGCCACCTTCTCTCCTTGCCCCGTGCATCCAGGGGCTCTCCTTGGCCCGAACTGGACTCCTCCCCATGGAGGGAACAGATGCTTTCTTATCATCACTGTGGCCTTTTCTCCAGCAATTAGGGGACACGAGAGGAAACATGTATGTTCCTATTTATCAATTAAGCATGAGCCAGCGCCTGAGAGAGCAAACGGAGAATAAATCTGTCCTCTGCACCTCACATTACAAAGCAGTCGGAACCTTCCCACCAACCGCCCCCCCCACCCCACATTTGGAAATCTATACCAATTTCCAATTTGCTGTGGACTCAAGAAGTCTTTGCCCTCCAGGGAGGGATGTGCCCCTCTCAGGGGTGTTGCACCTGGGTGGGGGGGGCGGGCAGAGAGTGCCTCAGTTGGTGGTGGAACAGAACCCTCGGCCACCCCAGTGCACTCAGGCCTAGCTGAGGCTCACGGGACCACCTGTGGTAGGGCAGTGGGAAGGGCACTGGGTGGGGGACAAGAAGCTAAGGACTGTTGACGTGTCCTCTGAGCTTTACAAGGCTGTCCTCCCACCTGCCTCCCTGGTGACAGGTTTGGGACCAAATATATATGAGTGAAAGCATTGCTGTTATTCCAGCAAGAGTCAGCGGATGGGTGGGGAACAGTGGGGATCAGCGGATCTGAGAAGAGGAGGACCGGGACCCAGGTTTCTCAGGCAGCCCTCCCGTCCCCGTCCCGGAGGAGCCCCCGATGGCCCGTGGCTGACGGGGGCAGGCATCCGGGTGACCGTGCAGACACTGCTGGGATTTGGCCACTCCCTAGGCAGACGCTTCCTGCACCAGCCCCACAGTGCTGCAGGAGAGCTGCTGGCCTACTTCCCGGAGCCTGAGGGATGGCCCCAGAGCATCGCTTCCCTCGCAGGCTCCGGGAGCCACACAGCGAGCACTTTCAGCCCCATGTATGAGCCATGCTTTTGCTTCTTCCTTACATTGGAAGGCCTCGGCCTCCTCTGTGTGAGACCCATTATCTCGGTCACAGCATATCTGCCTTCCCTCGTAGAGGAGGCCGAGGTGGCCCTATCCCCAGTGCCGGGTCACCCCAGTGAGGGCCAGAGGGAAGTGATTCCCAGACTCCCGCTGAGCCTCCAGGCAGCCCTGCTCTGCTCCTGGGTCCTGACACATTAGAGTGCGAGGACCCCAAGGAAGAGCTCCCCTTGAGGTCTGTCCATGTCCTCGCTGGGCTACCTGGAGGGGGAGTGATTGCCCGGCTGCCACGGCTGCTCCGTCAGGGTCATAGGTGGGGACAGTCTGTGACCTGGATGGTCCCCTGTCCACCTTGATATCCTGGGGTCCCTCAAACCAGACAGCCTCAGAGGCAGGCCTGCCTTGGTCCTCTCAGGCCCCTATAACTGGGGTCTAGAAATATCCCAAACCCACAAGTGGGCAGACCCAAACCAGTCAAGTGATTCAGAGCTGGGGACCTTGGGGAGAGGAAGCAGGGCTGGGAGAAAGCGAGAGGTCGGAAGAGCTAAGACCGGGGGCTAGAGCGACAGACTGTGAGCTAGAGGACATCAGGTCCTTCCAGGTTTGCGTGGCCTCCCACGAGTACCCCCACGCACTGGACACACACACACACAGCCCATTCTGGAGCTCGGAACAGCACTGAGAACTAGTCTCTTTGCTTACCACCACCCCGTTCTACAGCTGGTTTGGAGGTCCCCACTGGGCCATCATCCTCCCAGCCATGCTCAGGGCGGAGGCAGCGGCTGTCCCAGTCCCAGGGGCCCAGCCTCTGAGAAGCGCTGGCGTCTGCAGAGGGAACAGGTGGTCCGCTTTCCCAGAAGCTTTCCCTCTCGAAGGCAAGGGCCTGTGTTTAAGTCCTGAGGCACAGGGTTCCAGAAGCACACGCTTCCCCTCCAGCTCTGCTGCTTGTTTTTTCCTCTTCTTCCCGATTGCTGCTGAAATCGCTTCAGTCCCAAGTCCGTCAGTTTTAGCAGGTCCCCACCGTGAGTGTGCCAGGCGTCCGCTCGGGAAGTCTGTGGCACCCTGTCCTCCCCTTCTTCGCAGCAGCCACACCAGCACCTGCCACTTGGAGCAGGCTCTCGGGGGCAGCTTCTCCTTCAGTCTCCTGCTCGCCCCTCTCTGGGAGGCTTCTTCACCCCTGGGGCCGGAAGGGGGCATTTCATGTGGAGGACGAAGACAGGGAGTTGGGGACTCTGAGCGCTCATCCTGGCTCTGTCAGTAGGTGACTGGGGGCCTTTGAGCCTCTGGACTTCAGTTTCCCCATCCAGACCTCAAAAGCCACCTGCTCCCCTGTACAAAGATCCCTGTGTAGTGATAGGATTTTTAGCTGGGGGGGGGGGGGTCTCCTGGTCCCCACACTTTAGGGGAGGGGATAAAGTGAGTTACATCTCCATAGGTGAAGGAAAGACGGGGTATGGCTTAAACCGCTGGGGCCAGGGTTCGGGAGGTGAGTGTGGGGGGCGTGCTGCCGCTGGGGGTGTGTGGCTGGGGGGAGGCCAGGATGAGCCCAGGCTCTGGGAACACAGACCCGTGGAGAGAGCGGGGTGTGTGATGCTTCCTGTCCCACTGCCTGCTGCTCCTGGGGCCCTTGCCTCCAACCCCAGCCAGCGGGTCGGGGGTCCATGTGAGGGGCCCCAGGAGGGTGGCGGTGGGCTAGGCCAGGCAGGCACATCTCTCTCCAACCCCCAGCCACTCAGCGTGGCTCTCATGTCTCTTTCAGCCTCCGGGAGGAGTTCCTGGGACCCAGCCGCTGCTGCCCAATTCCATGGATCCCACCCGACAACAAGGTAGAGGGCAGGGCAGGGCCACCCGCTGCATGGGGAGTCTGTGCTGTCTGCCCCCACTCCCCGCCTCACAGCTCCCCTACTCTCTCATGCAGGTCACCCCAACATGGGAGGATCAATGCAAAGAATGAACCCTCCCCGAGGCATGGGGCCCATGGGGCCGGGCCCACAGGTAACCCCCTGTCTGTCTGTCCATCTCCCTGTCCATCTATGTGCACCCGCCTACTTTCCTCCTTCCACAGTCTGTCAGTCGTTCGTGTCACTCAGATCGCAGGGGTGAGGGGAGAGAACATAGCCCAGTCCCCAGCTGCCTGCTCTGCCCACGGCTGGGCTTGTCCCCCACACAGCCAGGAGCAGCCCCCCTTGGTAGGCAGCAGGCCAGATTAAGGGGCCTTCCAGGAAGCTGGGGGAGCAGGGCAGCCAGGTGTTGCCAGATCCTGCCGTGGGAGGGTTTTGAAGACTTTGGGAGGTGGAGGGTCTGGTGCCCGAGCAGTGGTGTGGGTTCTCTGGGAATCCCAAAGCCTCCTGGGTAGTGGACTTGAACTGGCTTGGGGTCCCAATTTGTTGTGACCCAAAGGCGGGATGAACAAGGGGCAGTCCTAGCTCTGCCTGCGACTCACTATTTGTCCTTGGGTGAACCTTTGGACCTCGGTGGGCCCTAATAGGCCTTGGTTTCCCTGTTTGATATGAGGGGATGAGGAGTGTGTCTACACCTGTGGTTTCTCCGTGATGCCACCCCAGGGAGAGGAGGCCAGGCTGGCCAGGAACCCTAAAACCCCCTTCAACCCAGAGCCTCAGCCGGTTTCTTGGCCCTGGCTCCAAGCTAAGATTTCTTCTTTTTTTTTTTTTTTAAGATTTTATTTATTTATTTGACAGACAGAGACCACTATTTATTTGACAGACAGAGACGACAAGTAGGCAGAGAGTAGAGGGAGAAGCAGGCTCCCTGCTGAGCAGAGAGCCCGACACGGGGCTCAATCCCAGGACCCTGGGATCATGACCTGAGCCGAAGGCAGAGGCCCCAACCCACTGAGCCACCCAGGCGCCCCCAAGCTAAGATTTCTTCTGACCAGAGAGGTTCCATTGTCAAAAAGGATCCCTCAGAAATCTCTGGGAGACATGCTGTCAAGTGCCCTGCCCACCTCTTTGCAGTTATGGCACAGCAGTCAGTCCTTGTGACCCAGCTCCAGGCCCCGCAGGTACGGCTGGCTCTCACAGGACCACCTGACAGGCCATTCCTATTCTCGAGCTTTCTCACAGTTGCTTCCCACCCTCCAGAGTATTTGAATGTGGCCTTGTTTTCCTCTAGTAGCTGTGGCAGAGGGTTTGCTGATCTGACTAGCTAAAAGAAGCTGCAAGTCTAAATAAGGAGAAGGGAATTTCATTTAGTGAGATCGGGAGGGTTTTGCTGTAGGGTGTTCCTTCCCTTTTCTGCCCTGCCTGGAAGCCTGCTTGTCATCGGGGGTCCATCCCCCCTAACTCAGTGTGCAGATGTTTGCATTCTCTGGGCCCTTCCCCGGGTATCCGGTTCTCTCGGGGAGGAGGAGTGCTCCCGCTCCCAGGCTCCCAGACACGTGTCCCGCTGGAAGGGAGAGGGGTCCGCCCACACCCAGAGTCCTCCGCTCCGTCTGGAGCTGTGTTTACAGCACCCCCCGCCCACTGCCTTCTTCTTGGTGGGGGCTGCAAACATCTGTGGTGCTGAAGGATTTTAGGGAGGTCCTTGTCTGCTCTTGGCCCCGTTATCCTACACAGTGAAGCAAGCGCATGCCAGTTCCAGCTCTGGTTTTCTTGTTTGTTTGTTTTCTTTCCTGAAATCCCCAGGGCTTGTGTTTTCACCAGTTCCTTTTGAGCCCCCAGAGAGGCCCCTTCCAGCCGTGTGGCTGTCTCGAGTGGACCCCAGCTGGGTGGGTCCACTGAGGAACTTGTGGGAGGGGCCGCGGGGTCTGAAGCAGAGTGTTGCCTCCCGAGTGGGGAACCTGTAGGTTCCCCAGCTGCACTTCAGAGAGACTCTTGGGGCGGATAAGCAGTGACCTTGGACTTCCACAACGTCCTGGGGACTTTGGGGGCGCCAGAGGTTGGAGTGGGAAGGCCCCTGCCCGCCCCTCTGGGTTCTTGGAGGCTTAGCAGCTGCATCTGTAAAATGGGCAGGAGACCAGCACTGGCCGTGTAGGAGTGCTCGAGGGGAGTCTCAAGTTCTCGGCCTGACACTTGGCATCAGGTTCTCCTCGTGAGCAATGTATGTATTCCAGTGGGGGGGCTTACATTCAGTCGTTCAGGACTCTCGTTGCCTGTGTTTGATGATTGCTTTGAGTGGGGTGTGCTTTTGGTTTTTAAAATTTTTCCTGGCCAAGGCCATACTTTAGCAGTTCATTAAGCCTGTAGTAATCCTGAGGTTCTGGGAGCTGGGAATGGATGGCAGCAGACTGACTGAGAGCAGAGTTCTCTTTAAGTGTAGGACTTCCTCTTGGCTTAGCAGGTGTCTCCTCCCGTCAGAATTCCCGACCAGCAGTCCGGCACACTCTTGTGGCATGCTTTAAAGAGGGGAGGCTCCTAAAGGCTGAGGTCTTAGCAGACAAGGCCTCTTGCATCCAGCCAAGTGGTGTGCAAGGGCAGAGCTCTCCTGTAGGCCCTGGGAGGGGTGACCCAGAGGGGATGGAGAAACCAGCCCAGGGATGAGGCCAGTTGACTCACCCCACCTCCACCAACCTCAGGGGCTCTGGAAATGTCTCCCTTGTTCTTTATTTGACTTCATCGTATTGACAGAGAGACCCTAAAGTGCTTTGCCCGTGTCTCCTGTACCCATCCGGGTAGAGTGCAATCTTAAATTCCAGGGCTAAAGCTCCCTTAGAACAACCCAGAATGTCTGCCCCGACTCCTCACTGGGGACAGAAGGGGCTGGCCTGGTGTGGGGCAGGTTTTGGGGTCAGCCAGGAACAGGTACAACAGAGCCTAGAAGTTTGGACCACAAGGCTGAGGGTAGGACCTCCCTACCTCCTGCTCCCAGGCCTCTCTGTCTGTCCCCATTGGTGTACTCTTGCTCACTCCTAATGGACAGGAGAGGGATGAACTCAGAGCTTAGTGCTGGAAAACAGGGCTGAAGCCGCAGCTCAGCCCAGGACTTGTTGGGCCTCTAGTCCCTCATCTGCAAAATGGGCAGCCAGGCGATCACCTGACAGGGTCCACCATAGGCCTGGTAGGAACAGCATGAGCTGCCTGCAGGCTGTTCCACAGACCGCACTCCCTCCCCAGAACACCAGCTCAAGGGGGCAGAGCCACAGCCTGGGCTCTTAGAAGAGGAGGCCAGCCCCTTCGGGCAGCCTTGATAAGCACCACGGTATACACAGTGCCATGCTGAGAGCAGGCACAAAGGTGGGAAGACCATCAGCCTATTAGTTCAAGTGGGGAGTAAGATTGTAATTGCCTTTGACGACTCCGGCTTTCCAAACAAAGAAGAGCTACAGTGTAGTCTTGGGGCTGCTTTATAGGTTTCAGAGCCAGACGGGGTGACATTTGCCCTCTCTGAGCCTGTGTTGGGTTTTAGCCTAAATGTCACAACGGACCTAGCAGACCAAGCATTGCCCTTTTCCCCGAGTGTCTCAGACTGATTTTACTCTGGTTTGGTGCAATGGCCAGTGCCGAAAAGGAGGCAATACATACCCACTTAGTTACAGTCTTTCTTTGAAGAATTGTGTCAGTGTCTGATAGGAGCGTTTTGGCTAAGGTTTTCAGAAGGGAGTCCCGTTTCGGGGGAGCTAGAACTGCACCTGCTTCTGCCCCTGTGGGTGGAACCACGGGCCTCCTCTGAGATGCTGTGGCCCGCAGATCCCTGGGTGCCGACGACCAGTGGTTCTTGCTGTTCAGCCGGGGATGGAGTCTGCACAGGCGGGCATCAGATCGCCATCTTAGCTTGTCCGTGTTTGAGAAAGTTCGCATAAAGGATAAACCCTGATCTCTAGGACCACTCCTTATGCCACCTGAAAGAAATCACGTCTCTCTGTTAGTCCAGGATAGCCCAGCTCTTTCTTGGTTCCTACTTGCGGCTTCTGAGCAGCAGCCCCAGCAATAGAGGAAGGATCATAAACCCGGCCAGAGCAGCTGGGGGCTGGGTGGGGAGAAATTGGGGCCCCTAAAGCACTTTACCAGGGGGCCCCATAGAGGCCCCCAGGCTCCACATGATGTGGGAAATGGAGGACAGGACCATGCTGCCCAGGAAGCTGCCCAGACGGTGCGTCCGAAAGACTAGAATATTCTTTTCCCTACTTTAAGGTGAAGATAGTGCTGGGAGGGCTGTGGGCAGCCCCAAGAAGGAGGAGCCCCTCGGACTGGGAGCTGCAGGGAGCAGGAGCAGGCTCCAGCAACTGCCGGCTGCCCAGCACTTTCCTGTGTCCAGCCACAGTCTCCAGCAGGGGGCCCTTCATTGTTCCCAACAGCTGGCCAGACCTCTCTGCCCAGGGTCCGGGGTGCCTGAAGGGTGACAAGGGGGAGGGGTGGGAAGTCAGGGACCACCGCCATGCCATGAACGTGGCCAGCCCCATGTTGCACCAGGGGTCCCTCCCCTCGTGCGTCTAGCTGCCCCTGTCACTGAAGAGCCATGCAGATGGCGGAGGAGTTGGGGGGGCATCTGGCTGGTCACCTTGCTGTCCAGCGCTATGGACAGGCGGACACGGAGGGAAGAGAACCATTTCCATGGAGTCTCTGAAACCATTCTTCCAAGCCCTCTCTGAAAAGGCTGCTGTTTGTGCTTTGAGAACTTCCCCCCAAAGTTGACATTCAGCTCTCCTTTCACCCCTGACTTAGCATGCACCCCTGGGCAAATCTGTGGTCCCTCCAGCCCTCTAGCCTACTGTCTTTGCATCGGGAGGGCATACGTGGCCCTCCAGGGTCTGTGTCTCTGGCAGGGAGGACCTGGTGGGCAGCCTCCCTCTCGGGAAGCAGCCGTGCTGCTATTAGGGAGACTCTGGAAGGTGAGATCGAAGTGGGAACAGCTACTGGTGCCCCAGAGCCTCCGAGGGGGCAGCACACTGCACGGGCAGGTGTGTTCCAGGAGTGAGCCTCTGGCTTGTCATCCCCTGTTGCCCTGTCTGTGTGCTGCAGCAACCCAGGCTCTACCAGCCCCCAGGCTGGCCTTCCTCTTGCTCCTTGGTGGGCAGGAGAGACAGCAGGCTGCAGCCGGAGGCCCTGGGAGGGGTGTCTATCCACCGTGGGAGAGTGGGCTGCCTGGGGCAGGGGCAGGCTCCCTGTCCTGAAGTGGCAGAAGTGAGGCCGAGGTTTGTGGAGGGTTTAGTGGCTGCATGTGGGGCTTAGGAGGACCCTTGAAGACCCGAGGTTCTGTGATACTTAAGACAGCATTAAGGGCTTTGGTGTTCGTTCTGCTGCTAACATCCCAAATCAGAGCACACCTCGGAGAGCTGACAGAGCGCTTCAAAGCTGTTGTTCCGTTTGATCCTCACGGGCCTCTCTGCCCCTCAGCATTTTCATCTTTCAGGCGGGCACCTCAATGGGGCTGTGGTCACACACGTGTGCCCGAGCCGGGGCTAGTCCTCCTGGGCTCTGACCTCACGTCTGTGGCTCCGCCTGCCAGCCTGTGCCACCGTGGATTGAGAGGGCCCGGCTCCTGCACAGGGTCCCTCTGTGGCCACCCACTCTGCCCACTTCAACCCCAGCGCTCGCTCTCTGACAGTCAGCCCCAGGCTGTTCCCGTTACTGTCTCCGCACTGTGGCTGTACTCTTTCAGACTCCGAGCCGCTGTCAGGGGGACCAGGCAGAGGAGGTGGGCCCACGGCTGTGAGGTTCAGGAGCCTGACCTTGGCTGAAGAGGCCACCACCAGCATGACGTTGGCTCTGAGTTGTCACCACATGTGTGGTGGGGACAGTGCTGACCCAGAGGCTTGCAGATCCGGCTTTAAACCCCAGCTGAGTCACTGGCTTACTGACATTGGACAGATCTTTCTCCCCTCAGATCCTTGGTCTCCTGTTCTCTAAAATGGGAGCAATGCTAGCTTCACGGTGTTGTTTGTTCTAAGGACAAGCCAGAGACTGTGTAAAATGTGTTACGTGCTCAGCTGCTGCCATCAAATTTCCACCAACCTTAATTCGTTCAGATACTACAAAGGCAGAGCTTCAAGCACCAACCAGGCTAATCTTTCTCTCTATCCCTTTACTTATTCACTCCTTCACTGGTTCAGCACCGAGTCTGTGACGGCTGGTGTGGGGGTGACGCATGCACGGAGCTCATTCAGATACAGCCCCCACCTTCAGCAGGTACTCAGAGCCCAGTGGGAGAGACACGTGGCCACGATCATAGCCAGGTGTGGCAGGGGTCAGGGGATTGCCGCGCATTATGGGGGTGAGCAGTTAACCCCAAGAGATGTCCAAGGAAGGCTTCACCGAGGAGGTGCTCTTCAGGCTGGTTCTGGAAGATGTGTAGGAGCCCAAGTGGAGAAAGGAAGCAAGGCATTTCTTCAGCAAAGAAAATAGCACTGAAAGTGGGGAGTCGGGGTGGCCGTGACTAGAGGTTCTTGATCCCGGCACTCTCATGACTCACCACAGTGTGCCTTGGGGGTTTGTACTGAACTGAGGAGGGACTCTTTCCTCAAACATAATTGGTGACCCCTCCCACCGCGAGCATTTCTTCCTGCTTCTCCAGCATCGGGTATTTCAAGGGCCCCATAGGCTGACCCCTGAATCAGGCAGCCTGATCTAGGGGTTGGGGGACAAACCAAGGGCAGGGGGCAGTGTCTGTACGTGCTGGACCTGTGGGCACAGCCACCGGCCAGGCCTTTCAGGATTCCTTCCCCTTCCACATTCAGACCCAGCCACCACGCCCAGGCCCAGAATTTCTGAGCTGGGCAGTATTCCCCAGTCAGTTCTGTTACAAGTCCATTCCATCCCCCACCCCCAGACCTGAGATGTGAGGGCTTGCCGGACATCCCCACGCTTTTGAGAGAACCATCCCAAAGCCTCCCTCTGTGCTGGCTTATCATTGTGGTCCCATCACGTGGTCCCCACCCCCTCACCTTTTTTTTTTTAACAAATACGTTGTTTTTTTTCCTCATCAGATCCTTTCCACAGACTAATCCTCTTGCTTATATTCTGTTTGTCTTCCCTCCCCCTCTCCTCCCTCCGGTTCCCCTTCTCCTTCTCATAGACTGACCCTTGGTTATCGTTGCAGAATTACGGCAGCGGCATGAGACCACCGCCCAACTCCCTCGGCCCCGCCATGCCCGGGATTAACATGTAAGGCACAGCTGACCCTGCTGTTGGCTCAGAGCCCGAGGCTCACCCACCCTCTGGCACCCCCAAGACACTTGTGGACAGGGGCATGCAGGGCACCTCTCTGGCCCTCAGTCTCTTAGCGGAGGTGAGGGCTTATTGGCCATACTGCTGCGTGTCTGCACTCGGTGCGGCTCGGAGCCTACCGCGGCCCTGCCCACCCACTCTTCCAAACAACCCTGGGAGCTGGTGGTTATCAGCACCCTCCACTTACAGACGGGGGAAACTGAGGCCCAGAGAGGTGATATAACTCGCCTAGGCTCACACGACTCTAAGGGACGGTCAAGATTTGAACCCCTGTACTGTACCGGTGACCACCAACTGCTTTAGTCCTTAACCCTCCCCCCTACCTTGCAGGGAGAGAGCCCCGTGAGAATCTGTGCGCTCCCTTCCTGGGAAAATGAGCACGCACAGGAAATCTTAGATGCGCTACACATTTTCTGTGTCATTCATAGAAGCTTGTAGGCTTCCACCCACGGAGCTGCCCATTGGCACCCCAAGAGCCAGGTGGTGCGTAAGACCCTAGGCCCATGTAGAGGACCTCCTGTTAGTGATGTCAGCCTGCTTGTTCTGGCCCTGCTGGCACCACCCCCGTGGGGTTGATAAGACTTTGTTCATTGTCATAATTTTCTCTCTCTCCCTTTCTCAGGGGCCCGGGAGCTGGCAGACCCTGGCCAAATCCTAACAGTGCTAACTCAGTGAGTACCCAGGTGGGATGGGATGGTACGTGCCAGGGAGGGGTTTCTGGGGTCTGGGGTAGTCTGGCCCCAGGTCAGAGGTGTCATCAGAGGCGTGGATGGAGCAAGACTCCCCCACCCCCATCCCCCAGTGCTGCAGGGAGGAGCACCACTGTTAAGTGGAGGTGTGAGAGGACCGTGCTGGGGCCTTCCAGGGTTCGGGCCCAGCCCAGCCCGCTGCTCTGCAGGAGCCCTGACGGGTGAGCTGAGGGCTTGCTTAGAGAGCGCTGTCCCCTGGCGATCCTCTTCCCTGACAGGGCTGACTGCCTGCACTCAGAGGGCAGAGCTGGGGGCACCACACAGAAGGCCAGAGGTCTGGGGAGAAGCTCTCACTTTCCCGTCCTGAACGGGAGGCTCTCCCATGTCCACGCCCCCGCCAGCTCCCTGCCAGGGCTCTCAGGATCAGTTCAGTGTGGGAACCGGGCTTTGTTCACACAACTGGTCCCCCAAGGGAGACTAACCAGGGAGGCCCACCACCTCTCCCCACAAGAGGGGGTGCGTCTCTGGGTGGACTGGGGAGCCCAAGGGCACCTGAGTATTTGAGGAAGTGACTCTGATCATGGTTCCCCCACCTCTTGTTTCTAGATCCCATACTCCTCCTCATCACCTGGTACCTACGTGGTAAGTAGGGCACTGCATGTCCGACCACACGTGACTGATGTGCATAAGATCTTCTCCCAGGGTCCCGGTCTCTTTCCCCTTCAAAACACATTCAGAGCACACGTTCCAAACTGTGCTAGAACCTGCTATCGCTATTCAGGTTTCTGTACCTTCCGGTGGCCTGAAAGTCCCCCAACGAGACCTAGAGTTGGGTCCCCATCTTGGGGGCTGATCAGTGGCCCAGCTGGTTTCTACCACAGGCGTCTGGTTCCACCCACTGGTGTGTGTTTGTGTACACATGCACACCCACGGCTGCCTCTGGGTTTGAAGAAAGGACTGGGGTGGGTGTCGGGTGGGGGGAGCCCAAGTCCAGCCCCTCCAAGGCTTAAGCGCTCGGGCTCTCCTTGAGCTTTATCGATAAAGAACTGAATACCGGGCGGGGCCCTTCGTGAGCCGTTGTCTTTGATGTCTCTGGAGTTCAGTGGCTTCTCCCCACCTGTATCATTGCCATGGGTTTTTGATGGCCATTTTTAATCTCATTTCCAGGGACCTCCTGGCGGTGGTGGTCCCCCAGGAACACCCATCATGCCTAGTCCTGCAGGTAAGAAGGCTTGGGGAGAGGGTGCCATTGAGGGAGCAAGGGGTCCTGGAGGGGCCCAAGTTCACGCCCAAAGCTTACCAACCATGCCTCCTGAGCAGCATTTACCTTACCAGGTATATTAATGGCAGGGATTTAGGGGATGGAGGCCCCTTGTGCCACTCACCTGCCCTGTGGCCTCAGCTTAGGCTACTCCTCTATGGTTCAAGGATGGGGCAGAGTGGGGAGATCCAAGAACGAGGGGTCTCGCTGTCCTCCGCTCACACCAGTTGGTGAGCACCTGTCCTGGCTGTGCCTATCTCTTGGTGACTAAAAAGGGGCTTTGGAATTCTGGCATCCTGGGACCAGGACCATGTAAAATGATGCCTCAAGTTCCCAGCGCTCTTGGCTTCTGGTCCTCTCTATAGGAGATCGCTTCTCCCTCTTTCCTGGATCGGAAGAGGGCATGCGTGCGCACCTGCGGGCATGCATACACACAGAGCATCACGTTCCGTGTTTCTCTTCCAGCTGAGACGAACACACTACCATTAGAAGGAATTCCGCCATAGTCGTTACCTACCCAGAGAATAAGAAGGGGGAGGTAGCTGGATTTCTGCCTGAGCAATGGGGGGCCTGTTCCTGATAGAAACGTGTTAGCTGATTTTCTAAGGAGACTTTGCCACTTAATTGGGGGAGACGGAGGGGTCCCTCTGTCCCCAGACTCCTCGGCCCCCAGTAGCAGGGGAGCAGTTCGGCTGCAGTGGCGGAGCTGGCGGCTGTGATGTTCTGGCTCCCACTCCCGCTCCCTCTTTCTGCTGCTGCATTTTGATGAGCTGCGTGACCTACATTCAGACTGGGTCACATTAAACCACTCCATATGGTAATGCGTCTCCAGCCCCATCCTTGCCTCTCCCTCCTGCCCCATCAGCGTGGCAAGGTGGCCCCTGGGTAATTTGTGGCGTTTCTCTCCCCGATTTGATTAAAGCTGCTGGGCGGGATTGGGAGGAGAGCGCAGGTGGCTGTCCCCGTGTGGTCCCCAGCAGTCTCTGGGGACCAGATTGGGTTTGGGGTGGGGAGATGAGAATGCAGACCTTCCTCCCCCCCCTTTGCCACATTCACGCTGCTGTCCAGACAGGCATCCTGGAATTCTTCGTTTCAGGGTTGAGTGGTTTTCACAGTTGAATTTTCTGTGATTAAAAACTTTGTGAATCTTCATTAAATACAAATTAGCCAGAAAATGGTGGTACTTAGAGGAGATTTTAGGTGATAAAATACAAAAGAATGAGTTCAAGTGCCATGAGTTTGTTTTAATTAAGAAATGAATTAATCACCACGACTTGTGGGTTTCCACTGTTCTACAGATTCAACAAATTCCAGTGACAACATCTACACAATGATTAATCCAGTGCCGCCTGGAGGCAGCCGGTCCAACGTAAGTCCGCTTTCTAATAATTTACATATCAGATACCATAACAAATCATAATTAACTTCATCAGCTGAGGGGAAAGCAAGTTTAATTGATTTCAGCCATTTGTTACCAAAGATGAATAAAATAAACCGTCAGAAAAGTGATTAACTCTTGGGGAACTCGGTTCCCATTTTGTAGCTGGGAGAGACGGGGGATGGCGTGATGCCCTCCCATCCAGTCAGAGTCGGGTGCCCGGCCTCACTGTGGGGGTCCCCGCCACTCCCGGTAGGGTGTCCATGAGGAAAAGCTCTGGGTCGTCCTGGGTCCCACCCTGCCCTGCTGATGGGCTGGGCCGCCCCGGGCAGTCTGTCACCCTCCCGGGTCTGGAGCCCATTAGGGGACCCGCCTGCCCCGTGCCTCCAGCTCCTTTGGGAGCCCCATGACCCTTGTACCTTGCGGCTTCTAGGCCTTTCCTCCTGTCATTGCCTGGCTGAGAAGCCACTCCCTCCCTCTGGGCTTCACCAGGTCCCAACCCTCAGTGATGTCGCAGCTCAAATCCCACTTTGTCTGATTGCTGCTCACCCACCCCCTCCATGTCCTCTGTCCTGTGCCCGATGGCCCTTTGACTCTGCAGCTGTGGCCTGTCTCCGTCTCCCAGCTGGGAGCTCCCTGAGGAGAAGGCTGGTCTGACTCACCGTGGCACAGAGCCCTTCTGCACCAGGCGGGGGAGGTGAATCACGCTGGCCTTGGCTCCCGGAGCGTGTCTGGAAAGGAGACTGCGGGGGGACAGAAAGAATGATCTGCACTGCAGAGCTAGAGGATGGGCTTGGGGCCCCCCAGTTTTTCTGGCCTGTTGGGGTGCTTCGTTTGGTTTTGTGGGTTTGGGGTCCTGATGTGACATCTGAATCCCCACTGCACGTGTTCAGTCCTCTAGCAGCCTCTGAAGTGAGCGTCTCTGGAGGCCTCCTGGGTGTGGTGAGGGACTGAACCTGAGCATCATTTTGACCAAGAAACCTGGGAACCCCACTCCTTCACCCTTGCTCCACCATCCCTGTCCCTCTCCTGGGCAGCCGGCACCCGTGTGACCCCTGCTTTTTATTAGGGTGACCACCCGTCAGGTTTTCGCACTAAAAGCTCGATGTCCTGGGACACCAAGTGTTTCAGGGTTTTGGCGGTGGAGGCGGGAGGTTAGGGGGAAGAGAGTAGGGCTCTTACAGCAAACTCCGGAGCCAGGGCCTGAGCTCGCCAGGCTTTGCGTCAGCTGGAAGTGGCGCAGGGGACCATCCTGCCGCTGCCGCCCACATCGGGGGCCTGCGGCTCCTAGTGGACCGTTGGCGCCACGGCCCTCTGGGGGCTGCGGGTCAAGTGCACAGGGGCCTGGACGGGGTCTGCCCGGGCTGCGCCCGCGGGTCCATAGCTGCTGTGCTCTGTGTCGAGATGGTGCAGGCCTCATTTTCCCCGCTGTGAGTACCAGGGCCATGGTTTCAGAGGTGAGAGGCTGGAAAGGAGAAGGATGGAGACCCCGACCACCCCAGAACAGCGGACACTGGGCAGAAGGACACACGGCGGCTGCCACGGGGGTTGCGGATCATGGCCAAGGCCACGGGGATGGCGGGCAGAAGAGAAGGGGGAAGGGGGCAGGGAGGCCCTGGCACTCGAGGCCTGAGAGGTGCCCTGGTGCAGTCAGGGAGAGCGGCCACCCGAATCATTAGGGCATAGCCCTCGGACATGTCCGCCACCGCTGCCAGGCCGAGCCCTCTGTGGCCCCGGGGACCGAGGTGGCCCCATTTCCAGGCCCAGAGGCCCCGCCTATGTGTCAGCAGAAGGGGGAGTTTCCAGTCAGGCGGATTCTGTCGGCTCTCGCCAGCCATCGGGGGACCTTCCCACAGTCTGTCAGGTGGTGCCTCATGTCGTGGTGACAAAAACCTGTCCCCTGGCTGTTTGGTACTTGGACTCCAGAGCTGGATGGGGCTTCACATCGGCATGTTGGGTTCTGCAACGATTTTAATGAAACTACAGAAAACAGATCAAAGATGGCTCTCCTCTTGTCCAAATGCAAGCTAGGCTTGGCCTTTCTCTCTGCGGATTTGGCAGACAGCTCGCAGTTAATTTGGCCTATTTCATCTGGTGTAGGAACTTCTTACCTGTTAACTGTCCCGCACACCTTGTCCCTGGCACTGCTGCCAAAGGGTATGGCTTGCCTGCCTGTGAGAGCGGGCATGGAAGGTTTGGCTCACCTGTCAGTCTCCTTGAGATGTGCAGATACGGCGAACGAGACTTCGGACTTTATCAAGTTGGAGGCCCCGACACAAGCCCACACGGTGGCTGGCATTACTGCTGGGCCACAGAGAAGAGTCAAAGGCTCAGCCCGCCGTGACGTCTTTCTCTAATGGGAACCGCGCTGAGAAGAGAACGTTGAGAGGAATTCCAGGAAGATGGAAATGTGTATGCTGTGGCTCCAGAACCGTTCAGTGATGTCACAGGAGGGCCCCAGGAGCCTAGAAGAGGATGAGCAGACCGCACCTGAGTCATTGGGTGTGGTTGGGGGCTTGCGTCAAAACCTCATCGACCAAAGCATAGGGACTTGTGTTTTGGAAATGAGGTTGCCCAAGAACTCAAAGTTGTCACCAGTAAAGAGCAGCCACGTTAAATAGCACTTTCTCAGCTTCTCTATTAAAATTGTAACTTACGGGACCCCTGGGTGGCTCGGTTAAGCGTCTGGCCTTCGGCTCAGTTCATGATCTCGGGGTCCTGAAATCTAGTCCTGCATCAGCAGAGAGTCCGCTTCTGCCCCTCCCCTCTACACTCTCTCCTTGCTCTCTCAAATAATAAAAAAAAAAATATGTTTAAAAAAAGAAAAACAACTCACTTGGAATCCAGCTTGGAGCACACAAGTACATCTCATGTCGCTGCTTTAAACCATTTTCCCGGAGAGAGAGGTTTAAGTGAGAATGACATCGTGGTGCTTTGGGAAGCTTAGAAGTGATGGACGTCTGAGACAGGACAGCCCAGCTGATGGATTTAGGGATGCAGAGAGACCTGACTGGCAAGTGTTGGTCTCCCTAAACCAGCCTGTAGATACAGAGTATGATGGACCTCTTAGGAGAGCGGGAGGAGAGTCTCCTCAGGTCCCCAAATCCGTGCAAGTCAGCGACCTCCCAATCACTCCACACATAGACGCATTTGTGGAGGGGATATTTCTGGGTGACCATGTGGGGCTGACAGCAGGGCCTGATTAGAGCAGACTGGCAGCTCACAGTGACTTTTGCATTTGCCACTACCTAAAGGAATTAAAAAACCTGGCCTAGAGGTTTGCCACTATTGAGTTTCCCACTACCTCAAGGAATTAAAAAACCTGGCCTAGAGGCTACAGGCAATCCAGAGAAGTACTGTGGCGAAAGCAGGCACTGCCTGCCATGTTGCACCTGCAAAAGTAAGATGGGTCACCCCAGCAGCTCATCGACCTGGCCTGGCCTGGGCCCATCCAGAAATGTGCCGCCTGTGTTCCTATCCGGATGCACAGGATATCCTCGCTTCATCAAATTGGACAAATGACCTTCCTTGAATGGATTATCCAAGACACCTAACCTGAAACCATGCTAACTACCTCTTCGTACAAAACTTCTTTCTAATCTTTGTAAGGGGGTGGGGCATGAAAGAAAATCCCCATTATAATATAGGACAGAAAGAAACATGAATTTTTTAAAAAGATTATTTATTGGGGCACCTCGGTGGCTTCGTTGGTTAAGTGTCTGCCTTTAGCTTGGGCCGTGGTCCCAGGGTCCCGGGATTGAGACCCATGTCGGGCTCACTGCTCAACTGGGTTTCTGCTTCTCCCTCTCCCTCTGACCCTTCCCCCTGCTAGTGCTCTTATTTGCATTCTCTCTCTCAAATGAAAAAAATAATATTTAAGAAAATTTATTTGAGAGAGCTTGTGTGGGTGTGGGTGGAGGAAGGGCAAAGGGAGAGGGAGAATCTCCAGCACAGTCTCCATTCCACTGAGCGCAGATCCTGACTAAGGGCTCGATCCCATGACCCTGAGATCATAACCTGAGCTGAAATCAAGAGTCAGACGCTTAACTGACTGAGCCACCCAGATACCCCAAGAAATGTGTTTTTTTAGAAATCCAACATAAGTAGTATCTGTTTAATCAGTCAATTGCATTTAGCTTCAAGGAAAAAAAACTTACATTTGTGTATTGTAGGACTACATTGTAATATAGTCTATAGAATTTAAATATCCAATAAAGAGCTCAAGTAAGTCACTGTATCAGAAGACAGAAACATAAAAATGTTACATTTTTCTTACAGAAACTGTTTGTTTAACTAGTCCTCTATTCCCTGCTCCCATTAACCAGCCTTAATATGGCTTTATTGAGATGCTAGCATTTATGTAACAAAGTCACTAACACAGAATAAAGAAGCGGTGCAGGGACAGTGAGTGTCCCCAGGCAAGTGCGTGATGTCGGACCGCTGTTTACACTGATACCCGGAATCCGTGCAGCAGACTCTGCCCGGCGGCACCGAAGCGATAGAATGCTTCTAGGAAAACAGAGGTGGACATCCCTGTGGCCTGGACGAAAGCAAAGCCTTCTTACCTAGGACCCTGGAAGCCCAAGCAATAAAAGCAAAAAGTGGATGAATGGGACTTCATCAAGATTGAAAACTTCTGCACTTCAAAGGGACACCTTCCAGAAGGTAAAAACACAGACCAGAGTGGAGAGAGTTCTGTTTGCAAATCACATACCTGATGTGGGACTCGAATCCAGAACACTCCGAGAACTCTTAAAACTCAGTCACGAGAAAACAACCCAGTTTAAAGAATGGGCCAAGGATGGGAACAGACATTGCTCCAAAGACGTCCCAGTGGCCCGTAAGCACACAAAAGGATGCCCCACTTCGTTGTCAGGGAGATGCGAGTGGAAACCACAGTGAGCTTAGCCCTGTGCGCCCACAAGGCCGGGGACACCTTAGAGCCCTCCTCCTCTGGCAGGAACCGAAGAGGATGAGGCCGCTGTGGAGAACCGTCTGGCAGGTCCTCGAGAGGCCACACAGAATCATCACGTGACCCGGCGCTTCCACTCTGGGGTTGGTCTCTACTCACGAGAACCATGATGTGTGTCCACGTAGTGACGGTACGCAAGTGTTGAGAGCAGCGGTACTTGTGATAGCTACAAAGTGGGGACACCCTCTGTGTCTGGTGACTGAAGGGACTGATGAAATGCAGCCTCGCCGTCTGGTGGAACGTGATTTGGCCAGAGGAGTGAGGCACTAATTCACGCCCCAACACGAGTGAACCTTGAAGACATGCTGAGTGGAGGAAGCCGACCACAAAAGCTCACGCAGGATTTCATTTATACAAAACGTCCAGAACAGGCAAATCCATAGAGACGGGAAACGAGGTAATGATTGTCTGGGGCTGGGGGTTGGAGGGGGGCTGAGGAGGGACTGCTGATGGGTACAGGACTTCTTCATGGGGTGACGGAAAGGTTCTAAAACAGATTTGGCGGTGGTTGTACATCTGGCGGTGGTTGTACATCTCTGAATGTATGAGAAACCTCTGAATTGTGGGCTTGAAATGGGCCAATTGGATGGGATGTGAATTCTATCTCAGTAAGGCTGTTAAAAAGAATACAGGAGAGGCACGCCCGGGTGGCTCAGTGGGTTAAGCATCTGATTTGGTCTCGGCTCAGGTCTCAATCTCAGGGTTATGAGTTCAAGCCCCATGTTGGACTCTATGCTGGGCGTGGAGCCTATTTAAAAAAAAAATACTAATACACAAAAAAGCCACAATGATCTAAAACTTCATAAAATTATCATGCTTGGAGCTGTTTTGTCTAATGGAGTTGTGACCTAAGCTGACTTCCTAAACCCTTGTCTTCCTCTCATTTGGATCAAGAAGTGTGAAGTTTGTTGCCACATGTCAGAAATGTGGCCCCAGGAAGCCTCCAGGGTGGCGGGAGGCGAGGAGGCCGAGACTCTGGTGGCTGTGAGTGGGCAGATGGCCTCCGGCGCTCCCTCCCAGTCTGGGCACACTGGTCTCTGCCCCGGCACTCCCTGCTGCCACCTGCCTCTTGTACTCACCCAGGACCCCTGCCTAGAATGGTTTCCATGCCCTGTCTCTGCCTGGCCAAATCCTGTCCCTCAGTTATTTTGGCCCCCTGCCACCTCCATGCAGCATGTTCTGATTTCTCTGCCCTCTCCGCAGTGCCTCTTCCAGAAGCTTTGGCCCTGCCTTGTCTGCAGCTCCCTTTGGAACTCAGCACGTCTGTCCCGTGGGGTGGTTGTGTGTCTGTAGCTGTGGGCTCCTCGTCCAGGCTGAGGCCCAGCCATGACTCGGCTCTGTGTCCCTAGCCCCCAGCACGGGGCCAGATGCCACATGGTCCATCCTTGTCCACCCTGACGGCTGGTGTGCCTCACGGGGCCTTGGCTGTCCAGACAAAGCTCAGTCCTCCCTTCGTGACCATGTGATGTGACCTCCAGCCTTTGGTCTGGTCTGCGAGCCCCGCACAGGCCTGAGGCCCAGGTTGGAGCTGACTCCGCCTCTGCCCTGTGACCCGCCTGCGCCACCACTTCGGCGTGGGGACGTCATCAGTGGCCTCCCTCTGTACTGTCCCCTGCCTGGCTCCTCCCCTCCTCAGTTGCTCAGTAGACCTCATCTCCTCACCACCCCCATGGAACTCTTTCACTTCTGAGGAAGCACTCAGAGGCTTGTGGAACAGCCGCCTGTGTCCTGTCCCAGCGCCTCCCATCTCTGAGGGGGCACAGGGACCTCTGGCAGAGCATTTCCTACTCTCTCTGTGCTTTAGTTTCCTTATCTGTAAAATGGGGAGAAGAAGCATTAGTACTTTCAGCCCCTGGCTGGGCACAGGCAGTCTTCCGTTTGTGCGTGTGTATCTGTGTGTCTGTATGAGGTTCTCACTGGTGAGCCACACACTCCACCCCAGGGACATAGAGAGCCCAAGTAAGTCCATGCCATTTGGTTAGAGAGTTGTCCCAGTATGACATGGTGTGGCCTCAGCCCAGTGTCTTTCCCTGCCTGGATTTGGTTCCTCACCTCTGCCCGCACAGCTCTGGGGGCCAAGGAAAGGGCCCCGTTCCAGCCTCCTAGCCCATGTCAGACACCTCCGTGTGCCTGACAGAGGGGCTCTGGCAGAGTAGAAGCTCCCTGAGGGCACTGCTGTTCTGCAGCTGGGTGTGGGAGCCTGCAAGAGAGCTGCAAAGGGCCTGGGGCCCACTCAGCCACCACACCCTGTGCTTCTCCCCCAGTTCCCGATGGGTCCAGGCTCGGACGGCCCGATGGGAGGCATGGGCGGCATGGAGCCACACCACATGAATGGATCGTTAGGTAAGCAGGCACTGGCCCCATGGCCACGCTCTACCCTGCCCAGCCCTGTGCCAGCGTCCATCTTCGGCTCAGCCGGGCCTGGTCCCCCACACTGGCCTTGGCTGGGCTCGTAGGAAGATGCCCGGAGCTCCAGCCAGGACAGGAGACTGTCTGAGAGTAGTGTGGGATCTGGGGGTGGTCTGGAGGCCTCTCTGTGGAAGAGCAAACAGGAAACTGAATCCGAGCTTTCCTTCCTTCCAGGGTCAGGTGACATAGACGGACTTCCAAAAGTGAGTGTGTGTTCTATTTCCTCGCTGACAGCATCCACCCTGCCCCAGCCTCAAGGCCCCAGAAAGCTTGTCTCCCCATCAGGTGGGCTGGTTGCTGGGGTGCTGGGGCTTACCTCCTCTCTCCTCTCTCCTCTCTCCAGAATTCTCCCAACAACATAAGTGGCATTAGCAATCCTCCAGGCACCCCTCGAGACGATGGCGAGCTAGGAGGGAACTTCCTCCACTCCTTCCAGAATGACAATGTAAGTGCTGTGTTCCCCCCCACCACCCCGACTCCCATTTTGCCCCTGGATTCTTCCACTCACCCCTGCGGGCAGGGATCGTTCCTTTAACAAGTTCTGGAATGCACTGTCCAACACCAGCCTGGCTGGCTGGTTTCCTAAGAGCCGCGCCACTGGCTTTCTCCTTAGTCATTTTTCTCTACAAAGTGCAGAGCCCCCCTGCCCCCCAACCCCCGCTGCATGGCCCCAGCCACTGCCACCGTGACCACTGGCAGGTCCTTCTGGAGGCATCAACAGTGCCTACAACACTGAGAAAGCTGATGTGTCTGGAATAGCCCCAGGTTGAGACAAGTCGTGGGCTCTGGCGCTCTGGGCAGCATGGTCTCTGGGGTCCACTTCTGTCTGACCTGGGGAAGAAGGTTCGTGCAACCAGACACTTCTGGGGGTCTCCATGCAGAGGGGCCAGCTGCTCCTTACAACTCATTTGAAGAAACAGCGTCCTGCTCCAGCAGCTTTTGAGAACCCCAGACCACCACCCCCACCGGCAGAGCCCTGGGCGCCCCCTGTGTGGGAAGGGCAGTATCTGCTGCTTCCTCAGCTGGATAAAGGGGGAACTTGAGAAAGGAGGGGGCGGGGGGGACCCTTGGAGCTCCCACTGTGGCGTGGGCACAGGCTAGTGCCTGAGTGGGCAGTGGGCCCCACACCCCCAGATGGGCCCTCTCCAGTTCCCAAGGCTCCCACACACTGGCCTCACAACCCTGTCTGCTTCTCCCCTTCCAGTATTCTCCAAGCATGACGATGAGCGTGTGATCCCCTCCTCTTCTCCGAGACGCTGAGAGAGCCGGCATTGCAGGCGGGAAGATGCCAGAAATTATGCAAGAAGAAGTGAGGTGTCATTACCCAGGAGCTGGGGGAGGGGCATCTCCCTGCTCCCCCTCAGCCCCCACTCTCCTCCTCCAGTCCCCCAACCTGTCCCAATTTTAGTTTCATGCAATAAAAAGGCCGAACTTTTTATTCCATAAAACATGAAGGACAAAAATCAAAATTATATTTCAAGTCAATGACCAGAAAAATCCCACCTCTTGCCCATTCCCAAAAGGACCTTTTATGTACGTGACACTTTTTTGTTGTTTTTGTTTGTTTGTTTGGGGTTTTACCGTTACTGGGATTTTTTAATTTGTTTTCAAGGGGGGTTTTTTGGGGGAAAAATTTTTAAAAATGGAAGCTTCTAGCAAGCCCCCCCCCCCCCCCCCACCCCCGTCAACCTCTTTGCTTTCTTCTTTAAAAAAAAAAAAAAAAAAAGGACAAAAAAAAAAAAAAAACAACCACGCCCTGCTGTATGTCTGTACCCAAGCCCTTCCACCAGGAAAGCTAGTCTAGGTGTGAGGTCTCACGCTGTCTTTGTAGCCATCTAAAAATAATGATAATAATAATAAACTGGGCAGTTTACAATCGGTGGTTTCTTTCAAAAGGCCTTTTTTGGAAAGAGAAAAGAAAGTCACCCTTCTCCACTTGGGGTTTTTGGTTCATGGGGATGGGCAAGGGAGGGTCAGGAACCTGTTTGGGTTTTGCTTGGTTTCTCCCTGCCAAGGTGGCACTGGCAGTTGCACACCTGGGACCCCAGAACCGCCTCCCCCAATTCCACCCCATTACGTGGCCCGAAGGGCCTGACCACCTGACCGCTTTCAGGACTCCGCGGCGGCGGAGACACGCTGTGACCCGGTGGCATGCACTGTGTTCCCAGGACCGCTTCCTCCTCTCTCCTGGACCTTCCCCTGCCTGGCCTCTGTGCCGCTCCGGCCCCTTCCTCGGCCCCCACCCCAGTCTTCCCAGCGAGAATCCTGCCAGCTGGGTGGTGGCCTGGACAGAGCGCAGTGGGGGAGGCCGCCCCCAACAGGATGGCTATGACCTGGGACATGGCAACTGTGACCCCTGCGTTCTTGTCCCGTGGCCCTGGCTCGCATCATCCTCGTCGTGTGTGTGTGTGGGCACTGTAGGGCTGGAGTTTGGGTTTTCTTTTGTTTTTTCCTCTTGATTCTTGCTTCTTTTTCAAAGATGGGAAATTGACCAGAATTGCTCTGTATACTCTTGGAACTGGATGGAAAGACTTTGGAATAGCTGTGGGGGCGGGGGACAACAACCAAACAGACATGCTGTTTCCGGTCCTGTTTTTATTTTCAAAAACCGACAAATGCGACAGTGGAGCCTGTCCCCTCTCAGGAGGGGTGACTCATGGCCTCCCTCACCTCACCGCTCCCATCGAAACCTCCCGTGTCTCGCCCTAAAGACACCTGAATTCTTTGTACATTTACAGCCCCTCCTCCCCGCGCCCCTGTAGCTGCTGTCTGTTCTCCCTCCCTCCCTGATCCATGTATATCATACTATGTGAGATACCATCTGCCTGAAAAAAGACCTTGTGCGGATTATTGGGAACATTGTAGCTGTTTCTGTGTTTTTTCTTACCTTGTAGTCTGGTTCTGAATTAAGAGAGGAAAAAAAAGTAATTATGATACATTGTAGTTTGTGTACGATATATGTTGATAACGTTTTATTAAAGGGACATCTTTTTTCCGCAGCCCTTCCTGACATGTTTGGGGGGGTGTGGGGGATGTGGGTCGGAGTTTATCATTCTGACTACAGAACGCAAGATGGCCAGTTGCCCGCGGGTTTTTTTGGCTGGTGCATAACAAGACCTTGTTTTGTGTTCAAGGTGTTTATGCTCTTCCTGGGCATGTTAATCTGCAGTTGCTATGTGGGGTCGCAGTGGCCTTTGGGGAAGGGGGGTTGGGAGGGGAGACTGCAGTCTCCCATCAGATATGTGGGGACGCTCTAAAATCTGGCTTCAGCTTTGGGTCTCAGACACACACCGGTGTGCCAGACGCTGTTTTTCAGGGCATAGAACAGGTGTGGGCTGCCTTGTTCCACAGAGAGTCCGTGCAGGCCACTGGGGTCCCAAAGGCTGCAGCCACAGTGCCTTTCCCACTCAGGTGGACGCTTCTCCGTGTAGAGGCTGGGGACCCACCCCCCCAGGACATTGATTTTCGTTTTCAGTTTGGTCTTGTTTTCACCTCCAAGGCAAGGGGGAGCTATTGGAGGACTTTCAGAGTAGCCTTTGGCATTCTGGAAGGCAGCTGGGTGGGGCTGGCAGACATGGGGAGCCCCAGTCCCAGCCTCCATCCACACATGGAGAGCTGGGGTGAGGTAAGCAGTGGGGTGTGTGGGTTTAGACATTGAGAAGGTAGAACTTTCTGTGCCCCCAGGACCTTGCTCCAGGCCAGATATGGGCTCGGTACACCTTTACAAGGTCTGACCCTGCCAGACGCTATTCTGGCCACTACTACTACCTGTGGCCATGGACAAGTTAGTTCCTACCTGTGTCCTATTTCCTCATCTGTAAAGCTTCCTCCCGGGGCATTGTGAGTTTGAGCTGGTGTGTTTGAGCAGTTTAGAACAGCGCCTTGCATCTGTCACTAACAGCAGTGCTGGCGGTTAGGGCCCCTGGAAGCCCTCTCTGAGCCGGGGGCGGGGGGGTGTCCAGAAGGGGGTGACAGGAAGAGCCCGGAGGACCTGGAAGCTCGCATCTTGCCCTTCCCTCCTCTTGAACAAGGCTTCTGGGCTCATCCCCCACATAGACCTCTCTGAATGACCAGGCAGACGGCACTCAGCCTGACCCACATTCACAGCTCTGAAGGGTTTGGCTCCCTGAGCACACGGCCTCTGCCATGTGGGCCCCGTGCCGCCGCCAGTGCTCTCCAGGCAGGCGGGAGCCATGGTGCGGGGTGCTGAGCTGGAAGGGGATCCTGCCTCTAGCCTCACCGGCTTCCCCACCTCTGCTTGCAGGATGAGAATACCAAGTGCCCCCCAGCAACCCCCTGAGGCCAGGTGTTGGGGACATCTGAGTGTTCGTTGTGCCCAGAATCACCCAGCAGGTACTGTTACTCAAGGAGGAACTGGATGTTTGTTGGGTAGTCAGGCCTGCAATACTGTCTCCTCTGTGGTGATGCCTGCTGTGCCACCTACTGTGGGCAGGTGCTCAGGCAGGGGAAAGGCAGCCTTCACGGCTTCCCTGGACTCAGAGGAGACCCACTGCTCTGTCAGCATCTGCCAGCAAACTGGGAGCCCCTGGAGAAGAGACCAGGGCTCCTTCTGTAGCTCTGGCTCCAGCTCCGGCTCCCAGCACGAGGTTGGGCAGAGCGCACAGCAGGTTTTTAGACTGGGCTGACTGCTGGACTGCCCCGGAGATCTGCAGCGGGAAACCTTAGGGCTCAGGCCCCAATCCTGATCCGGTCTTCGGTTCTGTCGCGGCCCGGCTGGGGAGGGGACCCACGGCCTGTGGGCTGGAGGGGGCAGGGCTGTGCTGCTGCCCACAGGAGGGACCCTGGATGCAGATGGTGAGGCTGAGGCTGCAGGCTCTTGGGATTTGGGGGAAGCAGACACCTCTCTGTGGAAAAGGCAGCTGTCATCACATGTGAGACTCCCAGCTCTTCACACCACAACACCTGCTCTCTGAGCCTCAGTCTCCCCATCTGTAGGGGGACAATAAAACCCGGCAGTCCTGTTTGCCTCGCCTCATAGGTCAGCTGCGCCGGACCCAGAGCTCTGCTCTGAGATTCACAGGGGACACACCAAGGCCAGCCACAAGGGCTGTCCTCACTCAAGGTGGGCTGTGGCCCAGGCCCACCCTGCAGCACCGGCCCTTCCCAGGGCAGTCCTCAAACCACAAGGTCATCTGCTGGCGGCAAACTGCCGTGGCCGGCTGACTCACAGCCTCGCTCCCACAGGCTCCAGGGGTTTCAGCCAGCCCAGCTCGGCTTTAAGCCGCCACCACCATCCCACCCAAGCCTAAAAGGTAAGTTGCAAAGTGGCTAGAGGATGAGCCTGGGAGCCAGACACACAGGGGCAGAGCTCCACTTGGACATTTACCGGCTCTAGTGGCTCGAGCTGCCCCTGGATCTCCCCTGAGAGCCCCTCCAGCAGGGCCAGCCTCCCTGCTTCCCTCCAGGACTTGCCCTCCTCCCCGCTGCACCTTGGGCTCTCTCGCTGTGAGGAACAGTGCGTGTCTGATGACTTGTGGCAGGCCAGCGGTGTCTGCAGAAAGGCTCTGCTCCTCACCTCTGCTCCAGGGCACCCACAGAACTGGGAACTGGTCGAGCGAGACCTCAGGTGCAAACCCATAGAGCTCGGGTTCTCTGCCCAGCACGCCCTATCACTCCCCACAGGGGCTTGTCCTCGAGACCTTCCCCAAAATCACCACATCTCCAAGTGTTTACCTAGGAAACAGACCTGTACCACCCAGTGTGTGACCTAGGTGGCCTTCTACTATCTGAGGTCCCTTACCTCAAGGGCCCAGAACGGTGCCCAGCACACAGGCATTCAAGCGCTTCCCTGAATATGGAAACGACACGGGAGGATGAGACGGGGTGCTGGACCCAGGGCAGGGGTGCAGGACCCAGGGCAGGACTCGGAGGTGGTGTGCACAGAGAGGCCAGCCGAACCAGGGATGTACTTGGTCTATTTAACCGGATGCTAGGGAGAAATCTACAACAAATGTTCTAGTCAGAGTTTCTGCAGCCCTGATGAAATGTGCCCACAGTTTGGAGAGTCCCTTGAGAACCCAGGGAGCCCCAGAGAGCACCTATCCTGTGGCGGCCACTCCGTCTTCACAACACGGGAGGTCATTATCCTCAAGTGTCAAATGAACAAGGTGAAACTCAAAGAGACGAAGATTCTTATCTGAAGTCATTGTAAGTCAGAGCCGGCTGTGGGCAGAGCCTGGCTTACCAGGGGCAGGTCAGGCTTCAGGGCCCACACCCACGCAGAGGCTGGCTCACGGTGGGGCTCACATACAGCTACGGGCACCCCCCTCCCACAGCTCCCCCACACAGGCACAGGCTCCGGGGCAGCGGAAGGGCTCTCTGTCGGCAACCAGACCACAGGCCGGGTGAGCACGGAGGCTCCGGGCCACCCAGCACTGCTCTGGATACAGCATCTTGTGCGGAAGGGGCCGGGGGGCTCGAGACCCCAGAGTGGTCCTGGGTTCACACAGCACCGTGCAAGTACAGAGCTAAAAACTTCCTGAATGTCTCAGGCTGGAAACCAGTCGGCCCAACAGGTTCCTGGAAAGAACACAGCCCATTAGGATCCTGCTATGAGGTTTAATGGCAGCAGTGAAAACAAAGGTGGATTTTATGTAAATCCTAAAATGTCTGGATAATGGTCTTCTCCTCTCATGGAGCAAAGAGGGGCACCAGAGAGCCGGCAGTGAAGAGATACCCGAGAGGCTGGGCTGGAGGACATGAAGCTCTCCTAGCGCTGTTGACACTGCCCCCCTCCCTAACCCCTCCCCTAAACCACTGTGAACCAATGGTCTGCTGCCCCCTTTTCATGCCCAGGGACAATAATCCCTCACTCATTCACACGCATCTATCAGGCCCCTTCTCTCTGGACCAGGCCTGTGCCCCGTGCCAGAAACCCGACAGTGGCTTGAATCTGGCTCTGCCCTCAAGGAGCTTACAGCCAGATCTCCGAACAGTGACGATAAAAGCTGACGGGCCTCACAGCAGACATGGGGAAAAGATGCTCAGAAAGCAGAGGGGACTCATGGCTTCCCTGAGTATGAACGAGTCTAACAGGGCAAGAAGCATGGGCCGGAGGGAAAAAGAAAAGGCAGGCGGCCTCTGAGAAACGAGCCTCTGTGCCAGCACAGGTAGGAAGCAGAAGGGCAAGGCTGGAGCCCAGGGCCTGTGCCGGGGGCCCAGGGCTGGGGGGCGGGAGCCATCTGACCAGCCAGGATGTGTCTGCCACTAAGTCAGTGTTCTGGAAGGGAGAACCCAGAGACACACAGGGGAGGAAGAGAGCAGGGTAAGAGCAGAGAGTACAGAGGCAGCTGGTGTGGCTGCAGGTGACATGCAATGGTGTCTGGGGCCAAAGAAGAGGGCCCCACCCAGGGAGGTACTTCTGGGGCAGAAACGGCACCGGCAGACGCTGGAGAGCTAAGCCGGCCACTGCCGCGCTGATTCCATTCGAAAGCCCAACACCAGCTCCAGGCAGCACACCAGCTCAGGTCCGTGTGGCCCAGGACACAGCTAGCCGCAGACCCAGCAGCCCCCAAGGTCCCCTTGTCCCATCAGGGTGCTTATTGCTGCCTGTCCTCGCATTATGAATCAGAACGGTCACTGTGCGCTGCACAGAAAGCAGGCCAGGACTCTGTCAGTGGAGCACCAGCGACAGTGACAAGGCCCCAGAAAGAATCCCATGTCCGCGGGAAGAAATGAATGAAGGCCTCGTCCACGGGCCCCACCTCTGAGAAGCTTGGAGCTCCATTTGATGGAGGAGAAAAATCTGGAAACCGTGGGACTGTGCTGTGATGGGGGAACACGGGGTTTACGGGGACCCACCTGAGGGACTGCAGTGGGGCTAGCAGTGGGATGGGGTGGGGGCGGGGAGGTCCTTATGCTAGATCTGGAAGGACAAGGAGAGGATGGCCTGACAAAAGAGAAATGGAGGGCAGGGGGAGAAGGGAGACACCTCTCACAAAAAAGCAGCAGCACCCCTGAGGGGCCCGGGCCAGCAGCAGCAGGGCATATGGGGGCACCGTGAGGGAGCTAGCCATGCTTGGGGCACAGGGAAGCAGGAGGGGCACGGAGGGCCAGGCAGGGTCCAGGACAGGAGAAGCGCTCCTGGAGAGATCCTGGGTGGGACAACCCTAAAGCCAGAGTCCCCCGCTGCGAGCATCCCTTCAGCTCCACCCCTGGATCACTCTGGGGACACGGAGTCACGGTCCTGGTCCCATCACCAGGCTGGAGATGGCAGGACTTACCACAACCACCTTCTTTTTGATCACTGGGCGACACCAAAAATGCTGATAGAGGAGCTGGTCTGAGTCCACCCAGACCAGATTCTTGACGCCCTCGTCGGAGGCCAGCTGCGTGGTGTTCAACTGCAGCACGAGGAACTGGAAAACACGTCCGTCGGTGCCCACGCTCTGCACAACCACCGGCTGCTCCAAAACCTTAGGGTCATTCTGAGAGCGAAACAGGACAAGGAAGTCAAACCAAACACAGCGGGGCGTAAAGAACAGCACCGAACCAGCAGCTTCCACAGCCAGTGCCCGCTCCCGACTAAGGCTCTGACCGCGGGGCAGCGGCCAGGGTGAGGCCATCCTTCCCTCCTCTGGCCCGGCTCTGCCTGAAATGGCGCCTCCCAGTTGCTAAGCACACAGAAGCAGTAATTCCTGCTGCGGGGGGTGGGGTGGGTGAGGACTGGGCCAGTGGCAGAGTACAGGAAGGTGACGGGAGCTTAATGATGGAAATCCCTCAAACCCTTGGTGTTATCTGATGGCGACAACAGTGACACTGGTTCCACAAATGGGTCAGTGAATATAAAAGCTTACTCCATTCCCACTCTACTTGCCAGATGAGCAAACAGTCTCAGCAAGGCTAGGGACTGGCCCGATGTCCCACAGTGGCCCGGCCAGCGCCATGCCTACTCGGTTCCCACAGCGCCTTGCTCCCAAGGGCCTGGCACCCCGGAAAGCCCAGCCCTGGGCTTCATGCCCCCAGTGCAGCTCCGAAAGGTGTCGGGCTGCCGGGCTATCTGCACCAGCGTGTCGGCGGGGCAGGCTTTCACCTGACAGCCTGTGTGCTGGTGCCCTCCTTCAAGGAGCGCCACTCGGTCCGGACCCCCGCAGCAACCAGCTCCCGCACACCTCGCACACGCCGGGTGGGTCACCGGCTTTACAGCCCGGTAAGCTCACAGATCCAGCAGTCTGTCCCCACTTCACAGATGGGGAAACTGAGCGTCGGAGAGGTGCTATCATTTGTGCAAGGCTGCCCACGGGACATGAGCCGGAATCAGACCCCACGCCAGGAAATCACTGAAACCCCTCCCATCGTGGCCGAGCCCTGGCAGTCCCACACCATGGGACAGGAGTACCTCCTTTCACTCCCAGGAGTGTCCCAGGGTGGATGAGATATGACACGCTCACCCCCCCACCCCCCGAGGCTTCGCAACGGTGCAGCTGGGTGAGGGCCAGCTGCTGGACAGAGAGCCAGCAGGCAGGCCCTGAGAAGCAGAGCATCCTTGATCCAAAAACACTGCCTACGTCCACCCCTCCAGAGCAGAATGGGACATTAGGAACACCTAATGTCAGATGGCAGTGTGGGCCTCACCGGGACTGCTGGCCTTAGAAATACCTGTTCTTAGCTGCACGAGAAATAAATAAAAAGAAAAGTACCTCTAAGTGTTAGCTGAGATTCTGTATTGACTCTTATCTCCCTCTACAGATCAATAAAACTGCAGGTAGTACATAAATTTCTCAGCAATTTTACCTTTTACATGGAGGCTCTTCCTGTAATTGCTCAACTTCACATCCCCAGGAATAATTCGCACCTGGAGGGGGTGGGGGAGGTCTCCCCTCCTACCCAACCGGGTGGCAATTAGCGGCAGCGTCGCTAGCCATGCTCTGCTGGCAACAGCTAGCACAGGAGAGGCGAGGAGCCTGCATAGCAGGTCCCTGGCGTGCCACCCCGCCCGCTCTGCTCCCCTGTCCGGGAGGTGGGAGGCAGCTCATCTTTTGAAGCTAGAGGGATCAGGGCCGCAGTGCTTGCTTCCCCACGCAACAGCTGTGGGATCTTGGGCAAGTCACCTAACCTTCCAGAGCCTTCCTAAGTACATAGTCAAAGAACAGATAACCTTCAAGGACTGAAGAGACACAAGAAGGTCACATAAAGATGTAACAGCTGCCAATCTCTTAGCTGTGTGGCACTGGGAAAGGCACTTGGCCTCCTTGAGCCTCAAGTTTCCTCAGCTATGAGGCCAGGAGCATCTGCCACAGAGGGTTGCTACAGGCAGTGGTTCTCAAACCTCAGACCTGTGGTTCTCAAGCCCGAGCTAAAGCCAGCACCACCCGCAGGGCTCCGGGCAACACCCGTTACTTGGGCGCCACCCCGGAGTTCCTGATGCGGTAGAATCTGTACCTCCACCAAGTTCCCAGATGACACCAATGCCACTAATCCAGGCCCACGCTTTGAGGAACACGGATATAAAGAACCCTGGACTGTAGCAAATACCCAATATAGGCAAGGTCCATTCCACACCCTGTTGCGTTTTCCCAACCACACCCCTCCAACCCCACTAGTTCCTAGACCTAGCTCTTAGCACTCCCCCAACACAACCCCGCCCCCCACCGCCCCGGGACCCAGTGTCCCAGGCCTGCTCAGGGAATCCCATACTGCCATTCCCTACTCCCTCCCTCGAGGCCGTTGCTCCCTGGCCAGGCTTTCCCCCATTTTAGGGACAGCTCTGTGGGACAACTACTCAGCCCACATTCTAAACAATCCAGGTCCTTAAGACCTCCTCCCAGAATCAAGGGGCTATCACCAAGTGGTGTCTTGGTCCCCAAGCCTGTCCCCATTTGGCACACAGGTCTGTATCATCTCTGTTTCACCTCCTCCTGCCCGTGGAGGATCGTGCCCCCGTTCTGCTCTCAGAGAACCACAGGGGGGTACTAGAGCACAAATAACAAAAGCCCGAGGAACTGGGCACACCCAGTTCTGCCCTCTTCACCACTCACTGCTGTGTAATGCTGACAAGCTGCTTGGCCTGCCGGTGGTTCAGGGGCATAACTGGAAAATGGGGATGACAAAGAAACCTTGTGGGCTATTCTGATGAATACACGATGTCTCTTACGTAAAAGACAGGCAGGCACACAGGAGGCCCCCAGATGCCAGTTTATCTCCACAGGGTGCCTGTCCCTGGAAGTCCTCAGTCAAGCAAGGGATCTCCCTGCACCTCCCTTCTTCCTTTAAGCAGTGTAAGGCAGGAGGCCAACACCACGTCAAGTAGCTCGGTGGTCTTCTCCGCATACATACCCCATAGAGGCGCCGGGCCTGGAGCAGGGCGTTGCCGAAGGCAAACAGGATCATCTTGGCCCGCAGCTGATCTGGTTGAAAGCGGTGTGGCCGTAAACTGGCTGTCTCCAGGAAATACAGGGTGTGGGGATAGGGGTAAGGATAACCCTCCTGGAACCCTGCAAGGTACATAATCATGTGGAGGAACAGAAATTAGTATCAGCCTGTCCCAGAGCCTTTGGAAAGCCACCTCGCCCTGGCTCAGTGCCAGGCACCAGAGACTCTGTAAAGGCAGATGTCATCATTATAGCTCCAGAGGTGGCAAACCAGTCTGCCAGCCACACCGCCCCCCAGCCCCCGCCTGTTTTAACAGTTTCTAGCGGAGCATAGCCATGCCCACTCACGGACACAATGCCTATGGAGTAGCTGTCGGAGACCCTGTGTGGCCTGCACAACCTGAAATATTTACTATTTTGGCTCCTCACTGAAAATGTTGCCAACCTGTGCCAGGTTGACTCCTGTGTGCTAGCTCTAACTCTACCCCTTTCTCGCTCATTCAAGCACACAGGGGACAGCAACTGCTAGTAGAAGGAAACCTGGACGCTATGCTAATTATTTTTTCAAAAGCCAATCATTAGCAACATCCCATACTTTATTATTCGCGATAAAGGCCTCGCCTCATGCCTCCCAAGTGCTCTGCAAACGCTGGCACTGAGGATCAAAGCCGAGCCCTTGTTCTTCCCAGCCACAACCCTGCCAGGCCACCACGCGCGTCCCCTGTGGCCAAGAGTAAACCCTTGGCAGGCTGGCAGCTTCCAGAATGAGCAACCCAGATTAGTGGGAGTGGGTGACAAGGAGGAAGAAGCTGGGAAAACATGGGCTCTGAAAAATCCCAGAAGCAAGCACTACTTAGAGACGCCCACCCTTGGGCCTCCATCCTTGCTTCAGCTGCTCAGCACTCCCTGTGCGCCCAGCCTGAGACAGGTGCCAGGGTCAGACAAGGGCCAGGAGCAGAGGCCGAGCGCGGCCTGCCCCTGCCTTTGAGGGGCTCCGTCCTGGGTTGGGGAGGGGGTCCACACAGAGGGACATGTGAAGATCTGAGCGGGGTGAGCTGGGGCTGGGGGGAAGGACAGAGGAAAGGCCCCTGATGACAGATGAACTACTGAGGGGAAGAAAAAAAGAGGTGGACAGCCACACACCCCAGGCAGAGGGAAGAGGACACACTAGAGCCTGTGGTGACAAAGAGCACAATGTGTTATGTGTAGCTGGACTACGGCGGAGGGCAGGGCGGGGGGCAGCAGGGGACTCCCCAAGTTGAGGCTGAAGAGAGGGACCAAGACCTGAGGCCCTCATGTTGTAAGCTGAGGACTTCCACCTATACCTGGCAGGCCCTGGGGAGGTGGGGACGGAGGACTGAAGGGAAGGGACAGAATGTGGGTGTCAGAAGGGTGCTTCTGGAACCAGGAACCTGATGGACCGAGAGAAAACAGCCCAGGTCAGGCTGGCCAGCTAGCTGGGAGGTTGTGGCAACGGGCTGGGCCTCCTGGAAGCTGTCACCGTGGAAATGAGTTTAGAAGGAAGGCGCTACAACTCCTAGGGACGGACTGGAGGGCGTCAGCCGTGGGCCTGCCTAGCCTGATGCTCTGGCTTCTGTCACCACAGCCAGGGGAGGTGGTGGGGCCTTATTCGATGGAGTTTTGATGAATACCCCCATTCAAGGCCTGGGGGGGTTCATCAGTCCTAGCAGGAGTTTGGGCAGGGTTTATGGGTACACAGGAAGAGGGGTGTCTTTCAAGGGACCTGTGAATAAAGGAAACACTTTGCACCTGGCCAGAAGCCCCACAGCCACCCATTATAGTTCTGACGTAACAGTTACCTCTCAGGGGTCAAAAGCAAAGTGGGGATACACTGCTATGTGGCTCTCAGAAGAAAATGTGCATGAGGTGCGGAGCACAGACTCAATATTTAATATACTCCTTCCCTTCAGAAAAAACATGTCCCTCATCTCCACGCTGTGTGGAGACACAAGGCTGTGACACTTACCTGTGTTGTCTTCCACATCATAAACATTGGATTCCTGAAGATCAATAGTGGGAGATATGGGATAGAAGGTCTCAAGAACATGATTCTTAGTAGCTTCAACCTCCTCTCTGGAGGCGATGGTGGGCAGCGGATCCTTGGCGTTCAGTCGAGCTCCACTGGAACCACGGATCTGAAGGAGGAAAGACTCTACAAGGGGAGAAAGACGATTAGTCTACCCTGATCCAAAGCCTTACCTCTCAGCTCAGCCAAGCCTAGAGCCTTCATCCTACCATGCTTCTCAAGTCTTAACTGCTTTCCCAGCTGATCAGCCTAATGGCAGAAAACAAATCTTTGGTCAAGATGTTGAGAAGGGGACCAACCAGAGCACTCTTCTTCCTGTGTTCCCTTGCCAATGACTCTGAGGCCACCTGACAGTCTGGATTCGGGGCTGCCCCACACAGATCTTCCCAAGCACCTGCTCTATGCTGGGGACCCAGAAATGAGAGCTACCCTCTGCTCTCAAGAAGCTTCCTAGTTGGTAAGTGTATATGTAAGTACAAACCATACTCAGAGACAGCAGAGAGGAAAAACTGACCTCCTCTGGGAGGCCTGGGAACCTTCCTGAAAGTGGTATGCCTTTGAACTGGTTTCCAAAGGATGGATAAGAGCAGAGTTTCTCAACTTGGGCCCTACTCTCATTTTGGACTAGCTAACTCTTTGATGAGATAAACTGTCCTGTGCACCGTGGAGGTCTGCCAGCACGCCCGGCCCCCACCCACCAGATGCCAGTAGAACTCCCCCCGTTCGAGTCATGATAATCAGAAACGTCTCCAGACCCTGCCAAATCTCCCTTAGGGCGCAAAATGCCCTTGGTTGGTTAACAGTCACCCAGGCAAGAAAAGGGAAAGAAAAACATTTTAGTTCAGGAGGAACATGTGCGAAGGCACACAAGTGTGCTGCCCCACGGCAGAGTTTAGGGAGACAAACCAGGTGACGACCAGAATGTGGTAGGGAAGGAGGGAGGGGGTGAAGGGGGAAGAGACTAGAGGCTAAGAAGAAAGGCTATTAAACTCAACAACCAACAGTGAGGGAATATCAGGCCAGTCAGAAAGCCTCACCTAAGACAGATCGGCGTCCTGGCTACACAGACATCAGTTTATGAGGAAACACACACCTGACATACCAGCAAAGCTGCCACTGTGAGCGTGTGCGCATGCCCCTACCCGAGGTCTCCACAGGAGGCCACATGACACCTGGCAAGACGTGCCTGAAAGGCTCCCTGAGAACGGCCTCCTGAAGATTCTCCATGGAGCCAAATCTTCCTCTGGAGGTGCTCTGGACAGTCAAATCACAGCACCATGGTAACAGGTCAGGGGTGATGACCTTCTACATCTAACAGCTGGTTCGGTCCACAGCACCGCCACCTAATTAGCACGTGGTCTCCCTCAATGCGTGTGTAAAACAGGGATACCACGTCTGTGGATGGATGAACTCTGAGCCGCTTGGTAAAACACATCACGCCCACACCTCAGGAATAGTTTCCTAAAATATTTCCTGTTTCCTCACATATCATCTGCAAGGAAGATAAATGTGCCTGGACCTCTCCTAACCTTGGGTTTCAGATTCTCCCCACAGACCACTCTAGTGTGGTTTCCAATTCAATTCCCTCCACATCCCTCCTCCAGTGACAGCTCCAAATGGGGCAGTTTAATTAGAGGTAATAGCTGATGACGGGCCAACAAGTACTCCTCTATTAATGAGGTTCACTAATTTCCTTAGTGGTGCCATTACCTCTGCACAGCTGACTCCTTGCCAGGAAGTCCATACTCAAAAGGGGCAAGCTGGAGAAACCTGACCAAGCAGATGCCCTGAAAATCCCCAATCATTCCACAGCCGGTTTCCCTGCGCCAGGATTCCGCTAGTCGGAACGCTGGTGTGCCTGGAACATCCCTGCCGGAAACCCCTGGGGTGGTCATCACCCACCTGACCCTCGGTCGGCACTGCTCACGTGCCAGGAACTGTTAGACACCATGCACAAAAACAAGTGAGACACGGTCCCTGATGTCAGTTCACTTTAGTGGGAGGACAGAGGAGAGATTAGAGAATTCCAATATGGTACAACATTGCTCTGGTAATGAGAGGCACAATGGGCACCAGGAGCACAGAAGCGAACTAGCTGATTTCTGCACTCACGTAGGAACGGGGCTGGAGCCGAGCCTCACAGAATTTAGCCAAACGAGGGAAGTAGAAAAAAGCATTCCAGACAGAACATACAGCACAGTGCAAAAGGTATAAAAGCTTGATGCCAAAAAGCTGCAAGCGGCTGAAGTGTACACTTGGCCTGGGGGTGTGCTGGGGGTGGGGCGGTAAGAAGGAGAGAGGACCAGAAAGCCCAGCCAGCAGCCAGATCAGTGCATCAGATCATAAATGGCTGGAGTTTCTGGGAGGCAGTGGAGGGTCTGAAACAGGGGAGGGAAGTGAACTTTAGAAAGATCTCTCTAGCAGCTATGTGGAAAATGGATTTGGAAAAGGAGAAAAGCACGAATGGGGTAATAAGGCTCTGACCATCGAGTACAAGCAGAGACTTCCTGCGCTCTATTACCTCTTATCTTCAACATTTAGGCCCTCACGGGCACTCAACAGATACTAGATACGGCAGAATTGAGTCATGGGAAGAAGTGAGGAAAAACAAAAAAGACTGAGGACACCCGGGGCTCAGTGGGTTAAGCACCCTATTCTTGACTTCAGCTCAGGTCATGATGTCAGGATTGTGAGATTAAACCCCACATCGGGCACCGTGCTAGGCATGGAGCCTGCTTAAGATTCTCTCTCTCTCTCTCTCTCCCATCTTTCCCTTGAAAAAGAAAAAAAAGAACTGGTCTGCGGCTCAGGACAGGAGGATGTGTCTGATCCTACAAAAGTGGTCTGTGAAAGTTGGAAATGAGCACAGGCAAGGACACGGTGGTGGTGAGCAGGTAGTGGGGTTAAGAGTAGAAAGATAAAAAACAGACCAAGATGACCAACCTCGATTCCAGGTGGTGGATAACCTGTAGTTTCTGGCATAGATCCGCCTGGCCAGAGAGGGATGCTTGAGAATCTGAGATCTACACAGTTGTAACAGACTGTCCACAATGACTGGGCTGGGAGGAAAGAAGAGACATTTGGAGATTTAAAGCACAAAGCTGACTCTAAAATCCATCAACTAGAAACCTTACTGAGTTGGGGGAAACTTACCAGTAGGCCTCTCTCTTGGGGGTGTCTTCAGTGGAGTGCCAGAGACGGGCGTGAGAGATCACATTCAAAAGGCGTTCATCTTGGTTCTCTATGCAGTTCTTTGGATCAGCGACGAGGCTAAGCACTCTCTCAGGAAGTCCTTCTATTAACTTGGTCTTGGTAAGCCAGAGGGCCTGCTTTACACCTTTGGGGTAACCAATCACAAAAACAAAACAAACAAACAAAAAAAGAAGACAAGTAAGTATAAGTTGCTTAGGTCTGCCAGTAGCATCTTGGGGAGAGGTCTACCCTAAGAGAGACAGGATTTGTACTGTGACATCTGAGGAGTCAGAACTAAAACAAGAGTGGAAGCCAGGACAGCCGATTCCAACTCGATGGCAGGCGTGACTGTCTTCCTGCCGATGGTCAAGCTGACTGAGGTAGTGAGAGCCTGCACAGGAGCGATCCAAACAGCAGTGGAGATGGCTGGGATCGTAAGGCTGAATCTTGTGGGAAACAGTCCATCTGTTGCCTGCAAGATTCAGACAGACTCCAGACTCGAGGACTAGATCAGTATGCCAGCATTTCAAATCCTCCATCCCTTTATAACCAACATCCAAGTCCCTGATGGGAAAAGCCCATGGTCGGGGCACCTGGGTGGCTCAGTGGGTTAAGCCTCTGCCTTCGGCTCAGGTCGTGATCTCAGGGTCCTGGGATCGAGCCCCGCATTGGGCTCTCTGCTCAGTGGGGAGCCTGCTTCCCCCTCTCTGTCTCTGCCTGCCTCTCTGCTACTTGTGATCTTTCTGTCAAATAAATAAATAAATAAATCTTTAAAAGGAAAAAAGGAAAAGCCCATGTCTACCAAATAGATCCCATGTATTAGGTGTGGGCTGAGGATGAAGCCCATGCTGCTATATCAAGGGAAAACAGCTTCTGGAAATAATGGAATAACTTACTAATCATGAATAACTTCACGGCCCTGAGTTTGGGAGCACTGAAACAGATAATCTTTCACATCTCACCTAACCCTGAGCTTCTACAATGAGCTATCTTTAAGCAGATTTTTCTATGTAGAAGCCCTATGAAATGCACTGCTGTGATTTTTCGGAAGGATCACGCATTCTATTTATTACACAGGATCCTCCCTGGCCTCGGTACTGGAAGGTCAGGCTTCTCCTGGGATAGTACAGTTTTGTCTTACAGATATGGTGAACTGCATAACTGAAAATGTTCCTCTCTATACCAGGGGTCAACAAACTTTTCCCTCAAGGGCCAGACAGTAAATATTTTCAGCTTCTGAGCCATACATTCTGTTACAACTGCTCATCTCTGCCTCTGTGACAATGGAAGCAGCCAGGTGCTACAAGTAAACAAGTGAGTGTGGCTGTGTTCTAATAAAACTATTTACAGAAACAGGCAAGTGGCCGGGTCAGCTGACACTGCTCTGCACCCTTAACAGGCCGAGAGCTAAGTTTGGGGCTCCCCTTTAGCAAGCGGAACCTCACAGAATGGATTTTTTGTATTCAACTCACTGTTTTGTTTCTCCTTCTTGTAGATTCCCTGACGTGTATGTTTTTAATTTAATTTGGCTGTGCTGTAAAGTTTCTGTAAGATGCCTGAAATACTTTTCAGGAAAAGGATGGGATATAAATAAACAAAAATAGATTTGATTCAGACTGCTTCGTTTTCAGACAGTAAGGAATGACAGCTATTGTCAGTGGGATGGGCTGTGATGCCAAGCAGAAGTCCCTTGCTCCCCCTTCCCCAGATCTGGCTTCCCTGAGGGAAGAACTGGCCCAGCGTTACGGACCTAAGCTCTGCATCAAATCCACATCCCAGCCCCCTACCCTCAGAATAAAGTTAATACTGTATTCTTGTCCATGGCTGTAGTCACGAATTGACAGCAGGCTGGTGACGGCTTTGGTTAGCAGGCTACTCTAGCCAGCACGTATCTTCATTTGTAAAGCTATGCCTGAGATTAAACCGAGCCTAGGATACTCTGTGGGGGAGACACTCTCAAGCAATCTCCTTTGTGCTAATAAATGAAATGCTATGAAGGCAATGAGACTTTTCACTTTGAGGCTTATAGGACATGGTAAATACAATCACTTAGAAATAGAACTTCTGGATTTTATGGTGCAGCAGAAAAAGCCCTAGATCAGAGTCAGATAACCTGAATTTTAGTTCTGGCACTGCCGTTGTTCTTTAAAGTTGACAGTGGATTAAAATATTGAGATTTCATGGTTCCCTAGGATATGAATAATACGTAATCATTAGAGCTGCCATTTACTGAGCACCACCATCTACCCTGTGCCAGGAACTTTATCTACAGATCAGGTGGGGTTTTATGGAATGGAGGATGAAATTCAGAGACTAAAGAATTTGTTTCAAGTCACATACCCTGTAAGTGATGATGGAGAGGAGAATCTGAGTCTGTCTATTCTAAAGCCTAGTAATGTTACAAGGGTCACACAAGGGTGGCGCACCTGGATGGCTCAATCCTTAGCATGGACTCTTAATCTCAGAGTCATGGATTCTAGCCCCATGCTGGGTGTGGAGCCTACTTAAATTAAACAAAATGGGGGGTGGTGGTGCCAAGTCTTGTGAGGTCCATTACAATAACCGGGTAGGGCAATGGGAATGTTTAGATGCTGGAAATTCAGCCTTCAGGAATGGGTTTGAGTGGCTTAAGAGGCTGGCCAGTTAAGTTTTTTTCAAATCTAGGATTTATTCTTTGGTTTAGTCCCCAAATCCTGCCAGGTCTCTTTCTTTCCTAATTACTCCTTGGAAAATACTGCTCCCACTGACCTTGACCATTTTGTGTTTCCAGAACCTGCCCCATCCCCACAGTGATTTGGGGACTAAGGAAGAAGAGGTTAGAAGAATAAAGAAAGGGACTCTCAATAAAAAGCTCACCCACCCCCATGGACTCTGGAAAATAATTCTGGTCCTGCTCTTAGACCGGTTTCGTTCAGCTCAGTCATTATGACCTGTTCTTAGTAAAAGGGGGGCAGAAATAGGCTTGATGGCTCTTGGATCCAGAACCCTTCCTTGAAAACATCTCAGCTCTGACCTCTGACAGAGGACATTGACCTAGGACACAAGACAGGTAGCCCTGGGTTCACTATTTACCCACGGCACCTGTGTGGGCACCTCTGTCACATTCACCAATCCTGCCAAAAGAGGCCATAGACCAGATTAAGCATGCTTTCTGCTGTCTCTTTCAACTATAAACTCCCTCCAACGAATCATTCAATGTACAGTTTTATCTCCAGGGTATTAAGAGCTGGAAGGGTCAATGTTGATCATCTAATCAAAACCACTGAGTTCACAGAAAATGGAGGCTCCGGAAATTTCAGCCACTTGTCCCAAATCACACAGGGACAGACCAGAAACCAGGTCTTTTCACTTCGCCATTCAACCTAACACTAACAGAAGCACACTTCTCATCCTACTTAAACCTGAAACCCTCAGAAGATGTCATCACCACCCCTCGCAGCCGAAGAAACCGAGACCCACAAAGTTGCAAGGCCACGGAGAGTTGGGGTCAGTGCTGGGCGGAGGAAGGAGATCCCCTCCCACCCGTCCTAGGGCCTCACCCTCGAGGAGGCGGCAACGCTGGTGGAAGACGTAGCAGGCCTGATCCTTGTACAACGGCTGCTCGTGAACCGGGATTGGGCGGCGGAACTTTGGGTGCGTCCAACCGGGGTCCCAGGGCGGGAAGACCGGCCTCGCCAGCCCGGGCATGAAGTGCATCTTCCCCGCGTACGTGATGGGCTCCAGTCCCGGGATCTCGTACACCCTGTCCAGGGGACGAGCCTCGGGCTTCCGCGTAGAGCGCACGCCCCACTCGTACGCCCCGCGTCTCGGAGCCCCGCAGTCCCCAAGGCCGAGCCGCCCAGGGCGAACCAGTGCCCGCCTCGCGGGCCCCGATACCAACGCCATACCAACTTGATCCCCCTCAAGACCTCCACCTGGACGCCGCCATGTTCCTGCACGCAAGGCCTGCTGGAACCGAAAGGGGCTGGGCGCCGAGGCTCGTATTTTGAGTGGCAGCCACTTCAACCAATCATATTCAGTACATTCTTACCTTGCCCCACCCCTCCAGCTGTTTTCACTTTCTCATAGGTGAGACCCTCCTCCCGCCTCCCGGAGTAGGGGGGGCAGCACCTGGAGGAACGCGTCTCGAGGGGAGGCGCAGGTGTGTAGGTGAGTGGTCTTGTTGGAGGCTGCAATAGGACCAGTGTTAGAATACCAGTATTTCAAACCCGAATTTAGGGAAACCTTGACCGCTTACGGGCAGCTGAAGCTTGGGCAGGGCACTTCCCTCCGAGCCCCAGTGTCCCTCATTGTAAAAATGGGTTAGAAATGCGTAAGTTAGCGTGCCTGCACAGCTCCCGGCCCGAAGTGGGTGCACTGAAGTTTCTTGACTCACCACTCACTTCCCACGCTGCGGAACCTCGACCGCTGCCCCTCCAGGAGTCCGAGAGTGGCCTTGGCCACCACACCAGCTCTGCATCCGACTGCGCGCCCCTTCCCCGGCGGGATCTAGTTTCCTCCCCTTTCCTTTGGGTTTCCCTGTCTGCCTTCTAGAAACAAGGCCTGAGCTATGGAGGTGTTCTTTGCTCTTTGTGCCCACCAACACCGGTTTATCAAATGATTGCAGTGTGTCAGGCGCAGTGGGGAGCGTCGGGTTTTCGTTGGTGAATAAAATAGCTATGGGATGTAGAGCGTATGGGCAGAAAGTAAGTAAAGTCAATAAATAAGCAATTGGAACACGCACACGTATTTCCTATTCCTTTCCTCCTTTTTAGCATTTAACACTAAATGTCGCGTTTTCCATTTTGATCTTGTCTAATGACTGTCTCTTCCACCAGAATGTAAACTCCATGAGTGCAGGGGGTTTTGCTTCCTCGCTGCTCTGTCCCTTGCACCTAGACGAGTGCCTAGCACTAGTAAATACATGCTAAATGAATCAATACATAATCGAACTAAATAGAGTGAGAGGAAGTGACCTTTAAGAAGGCCTGAAGGGTGAGGAGAATCATCCCACCAGGGACAACAGGATGTGTCAAGAACTGGCTTAAAGTAGTGCGTCTTAGACTGAAGAAAGAGGTGAGGCTAGGAGGAGGCAGGAATCAGGTCTTTAAAGTTCATGACAGACTTGGCCAACTTCTCTGCCAATTTCCAAAATACCAAAGGAAGTAGGGTAGTTAAGACACAGAGAAGGTAAGTTTAAGGCAAATACTAATCGGAATAACCCTCACGCTGTCTTGCAGTTTACAATGAATAAATAGAGCTTTCCCTTCTCTCACTTTATCTTGCAAAAACTTCAGGAGTAAAAAAAGCATAAAGAGGGCTCCAGACTTCATTTGCTCACCATACACACCTGGTCCATAGCACAAGATAAAAACGGGTTGCATTACTAAGATATCATGCTAGGCTGCAAGCTCTCTAAAGGTAGAGAGCCTGTATCCTATTTACGTCTTGTGTCCCAGCATGTAGCACTGTGCCTGGCTCTCAGACCTTTTCTATAAACTGAATGAACATTCACCATTCACTGGAGCCTTCCATATGCCAGCCTTGTGCTTAGTGGTAGAAAGAATAAGACATCATCCTTGTCCTCAAGGGGGTTGCAGCCTGCTAAACCTTCCTGAAGTCATAGAGCTCATGAACAGTAGATCCAAGTTTTCTGAAACCAAACCCTTTCTTGTATAAGAGAAAGATATATTGCACACAGAGGGACTGCCCTTCTAAAATCAAGTGGTAAGAGGATTTGGACAAGTTCTGATCAGAAGGAGCCTGGGGACGAGGCAGGAAGATTGGATTCAAGCCAGAAGTCAACTGGGGAGCTGTTAAATGTTGCTAAACAGGAGACTGGTGTGATCAGAACTGGTGGCAGGTATGCTGATGGATGGTGTAGGGAGAGACTGGAAGCACATCCTCTGGGACCATGGGAAGCTCCAGTGTAAATGGACATGGGAAGCAGGATAAGTAGAAAAGGCCTTAAAGATTAGGAATCACGGGAAGTGTTTGGTAACCGAGAAACTGGACCTCCCTGTCTTAGGAGTTAGGTTGACCTTGGGTATGTTATTAACCACCCCCAGACCCCAGTTTTCCTATTTAAAAAATGACATCTCTAGTACCAGCCTCATTATAAGGATTAAATTAAATGCAGCAGTTTGGTGGGTGACTTACCTGAAGGAAAGAAATTAGACAAAAGAGACATCTGGGTGGCTCAGTTGCTGAAGCGTCTGCCTTCAGCTCAGGTCATGATCCCAGGGTCCTGGGATGGAGTCCCTCATCAGGCTCCTTGCTCAGTGGGGAGTCTGCTTCTCCTCTGCCCCCTCCCCCCACTCATGCTCCATCTCTTCTTTCTCTCTCTCTTGAAAAAATAATTTTAAAAATCCAAAAAACATATACTATTTAAAAAAGAAACTAGACACAAAAGAATACATTGGTATCATTCTGTTGACATAAAAGTAAAAAAACCCAGCAAAAATGAACTACAGTGGTTAAGTTTCTACACAAAGTGGGCAAAACTAAGGAAAAGCAAGGGAATGATTATACCAAAGGTCAGGATGATGGTTATTTTGTGGGGGATGGGAGGTGATCAGGAAGGGATACTTATGAGGGCGTTCTGGGTCACTAGCCAAGTTCTTTGTACTTGACTATGTGGTAGTTACAAAGGTGTTCCTTTCTAACATTTTAACTTACTTCTAAATAATTTTGACAACCGTTAAATTGTACATAACTATTATATTTTCTCATTTAAACTATTTTTTTTAATTCAATGAGCTTTTCTATGTAAAGTGCTTATCTGGAAACTTTGGGTGCCAGCTCGGATCATTGCACCCTGTCTGCCTGCCTCCCCTTCCAGGCAGCAGGACTCAGGGTGAGTCCTCCCTGACCCAGTGCTCACACAGAGTTGGGCACCTGCGGGCCTCAGGGCGAATGGGAGCAATCAAGGTGACCAGAGTGTAATCCACATGTTTTCCCTCTTTCTCAGGCCAACGGGAGAGGCCCCGGGCCTGTGGCCTCGGAATCGGACCTGATCTGGGAAGAGCACCAAGTTGTCCCTCCCAGGCTGCTCAAGCCCCACCAATGATGGATGAGAGGGAAGAGGAAGCCGATGAGGAAGCCTGGCTGCAGCTTCGGCCGGTGGAGCCCTTGCCCTCCCAGTGCTGTGGCAGTGGCTGCTCACCTTGTGTGTTTGACCTCTACCACCAAGAGCTGGCAAAGTGGGAGGCAGCCCGAGCCAACAAGGACAGGAGCCTGCTGAGTGGGGAGCAGTCACAGGTGAGGGAGGGCTGCTCCTCAGCCAAGACGGGTCAAGGTGGCAGTGTCAGCACCCTGCGCCCGTGTGGGGAAGATTTCCCTGACTCTGCACAGCAGAGAGATTCGGGTTCAAAGCCTGGCCCAAAACTAGGCATGGGGTCGGCCCAGGTGTGAATGAGGTTTGGGCATTTTACAGGAGAGAGATCTGTGAGTCATGACATTCAGAGAAGAATTCCTGGAGGAGGTGCAAGTGAGTGGAATGTTAAAGGTGGTGGGCTGAGACTTGGAAGACGTGAATTTGAATTCCTGCTCAGGGTGTGACCTTGGACAAGGAAGCCACTACCATTCAGGCCTCAGTCTCCCCACATGGAAAATAAGGATATTAGATTAGATCATCTTAAGGTCCCATCAATTTCTAAATTCTACAAATCTGGATTTTAACAGGTTTGAAGGGTGAGTAGGTATTTCATATGTCTGAGATGAGTGTTCTGGATAAAGGGCACAGCTTTTGAGCAAATAAAGATTCCCAAACAGGAAGCAGCAAGGCATTCTTGGTAGAACAGAGAAGAAAAGGAGGCTTGAGGTTCGTCCACAGGGCCCTGGAGTGTCCAGCCAAGGAGGCTGCACTTTATCCTGGGGCTGACAGAGCTGCAGAAGACTTCCAAGTAGGGGAAGCTCAGTGTGAAAAGCTCGGGCCTTCTTTGATCAGAGCATGAAAGGGAGGTGAGGCGGGACAACTCAAAAAACTGTCCACATGGGGAGTCTGGGTGGCTCAGTGGGTTAAAGCCTCTGCCTTCGGCTCAGGTCATGATCCCAGGGTCCTGGGATCGAGCCCTGCATCAGGCTCTCTGCTCAGTGGGGAGCCTGCTTCCACCTCTCTCTTTGCCTGCCTCTCTGCCTACTTGTGATCTCTGTCTGTCAAATAAATAAATAAAATCTTTAAAAACAAAAACAAAAACTGTCCACAGAGAGCCTGTCCAGAAGGGAAAGCAAGAAGGGTGCTTGTGCCTGTTTGCATGTCTGCTGGACCCCAGGTCCTAGCTGTTGGATATTTTCCTGTTACAGAGCTATCCGTCCAAGCTGAGCCCAGAGACCTTCCTGGCCTTCCGCATCAGTGCCATGGACAGACTCACCGAGGACACTTACCATGTTCGGTTCGCACTCCCCAGGAACTGCCAGCTCGGCCTGCAGCCTGGCCAGCACCTCATCCTACGGTACACTCAGGTAGTGGGAGGCCAAAGCTTCACAGCCCCTCTTGGTCATTTGCTTTCTGTGTGGCTGAGGGCAACTTGCTCAGCCTCCCTTAAGCCTCCATTGATCACCCTTAAGACAAACATAGTGCCCCCTGACTCAGAGGATTCTGGGATTGTGTTTTCATAACAACTAACAGCAGCAACAGTAACAGCAAACACTAACGTGGCATTTACTCTCCAGCACACAGTTCTGTGTGCTAGGACTGCCTCCTAGAACACCTAGGAATTCACTGCATCCTCACAAAACCCTGTATGGAAGGTACCATTATCATTCGCCAGAGGAAACTGAAGTCAGAGAGGTTCAGTAACTTGCCCAATGTCACACAGTTAAGAAATGGTGGAACCACAATTTGAAGGCAAGCAGTCTGGCTCTAGAGCCTGTGGTATGAATCTAATATTAGTGCCAGTTGAGAGGAAGGACACTTGTCCTTGAGAATAAGGGACTTGCCCAAGATCACATAGCTAGTAAGTCCTGCAG